CCCATAGTATCCTCTCACTCGCTCCTGCCCACATACAATTTTGGACATGGGTAAGTATCAATTCTAGGGCTTTGCTTCCAGAGAATTTCTAAACCACAATACCAGAGAATATGAACTTAAGGCAAGTGAAAGAGAAAAAGAAAATGAAACTGGATCAACCTAGAATCCCTGAAAGCAAATAAAAGTAATTTTGCTTTAAATCTTGGTAAAGGTAGGGCACTTTAAATTTTGTTTAAAAGTGAAAAAAATTAAGCTGGTTCAAAGTAGATATTATAATGTACTGGTAATTTACGTAGGACAAGGACAAGGAAAGGTTTGACTTACCCAAAGTGAATGGACTAGAAATTGAATCAGTACTGCAGCTCTCAGAAGTCCTCATCAGGTTCTAAACAAGCCTTTATTTATATTTGTAAAATCTTCTGCCCAAGCTTGCTTGACATTAGGTCCAAGAATCCAAGGTAAATCAAACAACAACAGCAACAACTGTTTAATTAATGTTTTAGGGTTTGTGAAGTACCTTTGCAAATTCATTATTGTAATTCTTGCAATAACATAAAATATATACATAATTGAGGGTATGATATACGTTATCATTAGAGTGTTCTCTTATCGATATTTCTATATATGTTGATTTGAAATAAGACCTTTCCAGCAGCAGGGGTCATGGCTACCAGTAGCTCTGGAATGATGTCTTCAAAGTTTCCTTACCTTAGTGCTGTTTTTAAAAATCTTGGACAGGACTATGCTTCTGCTTACATCAGATTTTTATACTAACACACTACTAATCATTTTGTGTTGGAGGGGTGGGGTCATGGAGGAAAATAACAGTATTCATTTGGACTCAATGTTTAGAATAATAAGAGGAGGAGTGGTTTCTCAAAGGAAGAGGGGAATTGTAGGTTGAACAGTCATCCCAATTTGTGTGAATTTATGCTATTGTGTAAATTATTATGTGCTTGTGACTATTCAGTTCTCTTTCTCTCACTCTAGTTCTCATTGCTACCTAATTGTTTATGGTTTTTATTACCATCACAAATTGAGTTTTTAAAGTCCCCAGTTGTAGATAACATTTCTGGAAGAGTATATCTTATACTTTAGTGAAAATTATTATTTTCCTTTTTTAAAAATATTTTTTTGGGGGGGCTGGGGATATAGCTCAGTTGGTAGAGTTCTTGCCTCACATGCACAGGGCTCTGGGTTCAATCCCCAGCACCACTACCAAAAATATTTTTTGTTGTTGTTGATGGACCTTTATTTTATTTATTTTTGTGTGGTGCTGAGAATCAAACCCAGTGTCTGACACATACTAGGCAAGTGCTCTACTACTGAGCCACAACCCAAGCTTTCCTGTTTATTTTTTTAATAACTTTATTTATTTTATTTATTTTTATGTGGTGCTGAGTATCAAAGCCAGTGCCTCACATGTGCTAGGCAAGTGCTCAACCCCAGCCCTCTTTTCTTTTTTAATAGACTATTTTGGAGAGTAGTTTTTAGGTTCACAACAAAATTGAGCAGGAAGTACAGAGAGTTCTCATAGAGTTCTTGTCCCCCCAGTATCTTTTTAACTTTTGTTTTATAGCTTTGTTCAATTGCTATTATTATAGCATGCCTGGAATATGAGTGCATTTGAAACATTTTTGATAGATTTTGCTTTATTATGCTTTAATCTTCCCTCTTGAGACTGATGACTCCTGATTCTACACTCTCAGCTTAGACCTTTCCCTCGCCACCCACTTACTCCTATATAACAGCTGTCTGATGGACGTCATCTGGATGTCCTGCAACCCTTCCAGCTCAGCATGCCTACAAAGGGGAATTAGAATCTTGCTTCCCTCCTTCAAACCTGCTTCTCGTGTTCTCTTCATCTCAGTGAGGGTGGTACCATTCACACCATTACTGAAGCCCCAGATTTTGAGATTGATTTGATTGAGTCCCTCCTTTCTCATCTAACACATCCAATATTTATGTCTTACTGATTGTACCTCCTAAATTCTTTTTTTTTTGGTACTGGGGATTGAATTCAGGGGCCCTTGACCACTGAGCCACATCCCCAGCCCTATTTGGTATTTTATTTAGAGACAGGGTGTCACTGAGTTGCTTAGGGCCTCACTTTTGCTGAGGGTGGCTTTGAACTCACTATCCTCCTATCTCAGTCTCTTGAGCCACTGGGTTTACAGGCATGCACTACCATGCCCGGCTATACCTCCTAAATTCTACCCTCATTTCTGCCATTTTTGTTCTGGTTCAGAATCCCTGGCTTAGATTTTACTATATTAACCCTCCTAGTGCATCTGTCTGTGTCTATTCCTTTCCAAATCCACTTCTTTCCTAAAGCCAAAGTAATCTTTCTAAAATGCAAATCTGATGGGGTTGTGGATATAGATCACTGGTAGAGCACTTGCCTATGGCCCTGGGTTCTATTCCTAATACCATGATAAATTTAAAAATTTGCAAACCTGATTATGTTGTTCTGTTGCTTGAAACCTCTTAGAGATTCCCTTTACTTCTAGGAAAGACTCCAAGATCTTTCTTGATATGGTTCTTGGCTGCCTTTCCAACACTATCTTCCTGTATCTCCCAGCATCACTTTCCTCTAGCTTTTTTGACTGTGATCTCTTCAAGACTTGGGATAGTTTACCTATTAAGAGCACAGACCTAGGTACAATTTAAGATTTCGCCAGCTATGGCAATTTATACTTAAATTCTCTGAGCCACATTTTGTTTGTAAAAGGGGGAGACTCCTTTATAGGATTATTGTGAAGAGGAATTATGACAAATACTTGGCATAAAGTAGGCATTTAATACCAGGTGATTTATTAATATTGGGTCATATTATTGTCATTTCTCCCTAATTTTTCCATATTTTATTTATTTATTTACTTATTTATTATTTGTTCTAATTATTTATACATGACAGTAGAATGTATTTTGACACATTGTACACATATGGAGTACAACTTCTCCTGCCTCTGTCTGAATGTGGTGCAGAGTCACACTGGTAGTGTAATCATACATGTATACAGGGTAATAATGTCCATCTCATTCTACCATTCTTCCCATCTTCTGTATTTTTAATTGGTGTATTATGTACATAATGATGGGATTTGTTGTTACATATTCAGAGGTGCAAATAATATAACAATATAAATTGCACAATATCATTCCCTAGTATTTTCCCTTTCCTTCCTCTCCCTGGTCCCTTTCCCTGACTCTATTGATCTCCCTTTGATTTTCATCAGTTTTTTGAGAAACTTTCATACTGTTTTCTGTAATGGCTGATGTAATGTAATCCCCGTCAACAGGGTATAAGTGTTCCCCTTTCTCAAGTCATTATTATCATTATTATTATTGTCTATTAGATAATAGTCATTCTAGGTAGGGTAAAAATATCCCTTTCTTTTTTTTTTAATATCCCTTTCTTTTACTTTTTCCTCTCTAGCTTCCACATATGAAAGAAAACATACAATCCTTGATCTTCTGAGTTTGGCTTATTTCTCTTAACGTGATGTTCTATGTTCCATTCATTTTCCTGAAAACTAACATACTTTCATTTTTCTTATGACTGAATAAAACTCCATTGTGTATATATACCATATTTCTTTATCCATTCATCTGTTGAGTGAACCATGCTATTTCTATAGTTTGGCTATTTTGAATTGTGCTGCTATTAACATGGGTATGCATGTATTGCTATAGAATAATGACTGTAATTTTTGATGGGATATGCACCAAGGAATGGTATAGCTGGATCATATGGTGGTTCCATGCCTAGTATTTTGAGAAATCTTTTTACTGATTTCCATAGTGGTTGTACTAATTTACAGTTCTTCTGACAGTGTAAAAGTGTTCTTTTTTCTCTACATCCTCTCCAGCATTTATTATTGCTTGTATTCTTGATGACTCCTCTGAATAGACATGTCTTAAGATATAAAAATGGCCAAAAGATAATTGAAAAAAATGTTCAATAAAATTAATCATCAGGGAAATGCATTCAAAACCACAATAAGGTATTGTCTTACTCTAGCTAGAATGACTATTATCTAAAAGACAATAATAACAAATGGTGGCAAAAGTGTGGAGAAAGGGAAACTCTTATACACTCTTGGTTTGATTAAGTTAGAACAGCCATTATAGAAAACAGTATGAAAGTTTCTCAAAAAACTGAAAACATGTGACTCAGCAATCCCACTTCTGGGTATATAGCCAAATGACTTGAAATGATTATATCAAAGAGGTAATCTGTATGCCCATGTTTATTACAGCACTAACAACAATAGCCAAAATGTGGAATCAGTCAAGGTGTCCATCAGTGGATGAATGGATATAGAAAATGTGGCATATATACACAGTAGAATATGATTCAGTCATAAAAAAGGTGAAATCCTATCATTTTTTGGCAGTGTAGATAAAACTGGAGGATATTATATTAAGTGAAGTAAGCCAAGGACAGAAAGAAATATTATATGTTCTCATAGAGTATTGTATGAAGACAATTCTGGAAATGAAAAAAAGTTGATCATATAGGAGGGGAAGTAGTTTGATTCTTCATAACATACAGAAATGATAATATTAGATGGATCTGCTAATTACTGTGATTTGATCATTACACATTTTATATATGTATCAAATTATAATACTGTACCCCATAAATGAGTATGAATTTTCTGTCAGTTAAAAACAAAAAGTAAAATATAAAAACAAAACTAACTTAAAATGAAGTGTTAGAGTATAATTCTTTGAAACTTGGGACCTATTTATCTAGTGTGAGAAAATTTCATACCAGGAACACTAAGGATCTGACCTAATAACCTTATAGTATTTTTATTTCTATTTTCATGTTTTTGGATTTTTATCAGCATCCATTTTTTTAAGAATTGGCCTTTTACTGACTTTTATTACTTTAAATTATATTCCTTCAATTACATATTTTCTGACATGTGCTCAGTCAAGTGCTTGGTTTTGCCAATTTTGTCTCATTCTTTTGTTCCTTCTTTCGACAGGCTTCTTTCCCTGGGAACTTGCACTTAGTTTTGGTTTTACGTCCTACCAGTTTTCTTCAACGAACTTTCACAGACATTGGATTTCGATTTAGTCAGGAGGATTTCATGCTCAAATTACCAGTAAGAATATATTATTTAAATGGTTTGTCCCTTTAATTCTCATGAAGATTTTGTCCCGTGCTGTTTGTTTTTACATGTGCTTACATACAGCTTTTAAAATAAAAAAAAATTCTTTGAAAAATGCAAATTTCAAATGGCCCCAAGTCTTCTGCTTCTACTGTTAAGAAATAGATCAAGCAATTTATAACAAAACCAATTTCTTTGAAGAATAAATGTTATATGTATGTGTTTATGTGTATATGTGTGTATGTGTGTGCATAATTAGAAACTTTTATTTTTAGTAAAAAAAGAGTATGTTTTATGTATTTGAACTCCCATGAACTCACATCCTGAGCTGGTTCAGAGTATCACGTTCTTTGTTTTGAAAAGATGTTTTTATAGTTAGGAATACAGTGTTCATAAATTTTGATACTTTTGGAAAGATCAGTCCCTCCTGATAAATTATAGCTTACAATATACTGTCCTTTTACTTTGTTGTGAGTGTAGTATTCTTTCACAAGCTGAGCCATTTACAATGAAAACTTTTAGATGAAAGAGAATTAAGTGTTTGGGTTTTTATGTAGGTTAATTTTGCTGTAGAGAAATGTTTTGTAAATAAAGACTTATTACCTAAATAAGGTAATGCAAACGTGTGGGGGTTCATGTACAAGAGAGAACTGTTAGAACCATTTATAGAAGATGAATTTCTGCTAAATGTATGCTAAAGTTCATTTTACAGTTTAATGGAGGGATGTCATGAAGGACAGTTAACAGTATCTTTTTTGCTTATTTATATAGGTTGTTATGCTGAGCTCAGTTAGTGATTTGCTGGCATACATTGATGACAAGCAATTAACCCCTGAGTTAGGCGGCACCTTGCAGTACTGCCACAGTGAATGGATCATCTTCAGAAATGTATGTTGCTTTTGCCCTTACCGTAGAGCCTATAGTTCATATTAGTCTTTGAATCTAGTTCTAGAATTTTTTCCTATTTGAGAAAAACAGATTTTTCGGGGCTCCTACTTTTCAAATACATTTAAAATTCAACATCTTGATTTTTCTTCCATAGGCAATATCTAGAAATGAAGAGTCACTAGGGATAGCAGTTGAAGGAGAGGTCTAGAGAACGAGGAAATCTTACTCTGCCAAACCCTGCCTGTGGTCATGTAGTAACTTGAAGAAACAAAGGGTTTGGGTTCAGATCCTGTCACTGCTGATTTTTAGCTGTATGACCTTGGACAATATACACAACCTCTCTTAATCCTAGTTTTCCAAGCTATAAAATGGGAATAATAATACCTTACCTCATAGGAGTCTTGGGGAGATTAAATAATATACCTAATGCAAAATGATTGGCTCAGTGCATAGCATATGACAAACCCTCAACAAGTCAAGTAATATTAATCTCATTATCCTAGGGATTTTCCTGAGGCAGTTACATTTGTAGGAGAGTCCTTCTGTTTTAGAAATTTTCGAATAAATGAAGGCTATGTGCTTCCCAGGTCGGAATCCATGTTAAATGTCTTAACTTCAAATTCCAGAGATATGGGAATTTTTCTGAAGAAAATAATGATGTTTCATTAAATCAGGGTTTCATTTTCCTCATCCTGCTTCTTTATCCAACAGTTCATTTAATAATTCATTCAACAATTCATTCATCCACATGAAGGTGTGTTGTCAAGATAATAATATCTATCCTTTAATAACCTACAAAACCAAACTAAAGGAGCAGATACCTTGAGCTGCATGGTAGATAGATGGTTCATGTAACCTCTACATTTTTTCCATCTCTCTGTAAGAAATGGATTTTGTGAAAAAAAAAAACAAAAACAAATTAACAACACAACCTTATTTGCCATTTTAGGGCAATAGAGCCTTTGGTATGGCATTTCAGATCTTCAATAGTACTTGCAATGAATTATTGTGACAACTTGTCCTCCCGCTTTCCTAAGACCATTACCTTGTTTGGAATGCTAATGCTATTCATAAGTGTTTATAAACAAATATAAAGTGACTTTGCTGTTCTCATCTCTTTAACAGTAAACTTATGGCACTTTTACCCATTGCAGAGTTTGTAGAATAAGGAAAGCTCTGTGATTTTTAAGGACATAAAATGGATTATTCAGTACATGGCATCTTTTAAGAAATAATTTTTTGGGGGTGGTGCTGGGGATTGAACTCAGGGCCTTGTGCATGCCAGACAAGTACTCTATCACTGAACTATATTCTTAGCTCCCCCCCCCAAATTTTTTATCAGTGTCTAAGACAAAAGTTCATAAATTTAGAAAAAAGACATCCAAGAAGAACCATAACTTTGCTCTTAGTTTCTTAGAGCCTTAGATGCAAAGTTAGAGTTGATTGCCAAGTGTAATGCCAGAGTTCCCAACATACATGTTTGATGTTATACCCAAATAAAAATAAATGCAATTATTGGTCCAGGTTTTGCTATGTTGGCAGAGTTTCCATAAAAGAATCACTGGCTCTTTGCAGGCTATAGAAAATTTTGCCCTCACAGTGAAAGAAATGGCTCAGATGTTACAGTCCTTTGGAACTGAACTCGCTGAGACAGAACTACCAGATGATATTCCTTCAATAGAAGAAATCCTGGCAATTCGTGCCGAAAGGTATCATTTATTGAAGGTATGTCTGAATGGACAAGCAAAAGTTTTACATGGTCTTTTTCCAGAAATATGTTTGACACATCAATTTCACACTGATTGTTACATGTTTGTATATTTATATTTAAAAGTATAAAAATAATATTCCACAAGAGAAGAATGTTCTGGATAGGCTGAACTTTTAAGTCCCTTCTGCAAATGGTATATTGTCTTGGGAAATTGTTTATTTGAAAATAGAATATATTATAAATGATACAGAATAAGAAATCTACAGGCATTTGTTTATCTCATATTCTTTATATTATGGAAACGCCTTCTCATTCAGAAAGCAAGTGTTAAGAGTCAGCAGTTCACAGGTGTTCTGTTTTAATTTCCACTACAGGTACAGTGTGAAATGGGAGAAGGTGCATTTGATGAGGATCCAGAAAGCCTGATTTCTTCTCCCATCTCTGCCATGATCTAGTGTTGTGACCAAGGCCATGTTGCTCAGTAGATTATGAGCTTTCTTCTCCACAGAGTACTAGTGCTTAATGTTTTCTTTGGTAAACCAGGAGTGGCAAATGAATTTAGTTTTCCTACTCATTTCTGATCATAGAGTTTGGGTTGTGAAAGATTCTGAGGCACAGTTTTGACAATGAGCAAGTACTTTGAGGGTCTCTTGCCTCAAAAAGTTTAATAACATTCTCAACAAATACCACATATCCAATTATCACTGTTTTCTTCATATGTTAATAGTCATACTGGGTACACTGTCATATTTGAGCTTTGTGTACAGGTTGCATGTTTCAGTTAAAAGAGGAGAGAAACTGAATGTTTGAACTATAACCTAAAAGCCAAACTTTTTCCAAGGAAAGAAAACTGTATTTTATAAACTGTGTGATGTTGGGCAGTTTGCTTACCCTCCTGAGTTTCAGTTTCTTTATATGTGTAATGAGGTTGGTGATGATTATTGTGCATATCTTATGTATGGTTGTGTGAAGGTGAAATGAGGTAAAGTGTGTGGTGTATGTATAGCAGTGCTTGGCACACAGCTCATGCTTTATAAATTCAACCTTTTTTCTCTTTGTAATCCTGGGGATTGAACCCAGGGACTCACACATGCTGGATAAGTGCTCTACCACTGAGTCATACCTTCAGCCCCTTAGGCCCAAATTTTTACTTATAATTTTAGGGGACCCTTGAAACTACTGAAGAAAGTCTTATGTTACTTTTTGATGTCTGAAGAAAGTCTATGTTTTTACACCAGTCTCCAATCATAAGACCTTCTAAATAGAAATATATGCTTCATGGTGTTATTTAACCCCAAATGTGAAGTAAAATAAGACTTATGGTGGGAAGTGATTGCTAACAATTAAGGATTAGTAAGAAAGGTACATGATTCTTCTTGAATATGCACTTGACATCTGTAACTCTATGTTTTCTATTTTGATAGTTTTTATTGTGCTAATACTGCCTTATTTGAACACTTTAAAACATTACTAGAACAGAATGGAATAGATTAGAACTTGCTACCAGCAAGAGAAGGAGGCAGCAAAGAGAACACATGGTACTTCTCCCGGTAACAATTTTGTAGAATAGTGATTGAAACATCCATCTCTAAGGCAAGGGCTTCTTGGATCTTCAAAGCTTGTGGATTTTGTAGTATTGAAATATCCTTGATTTTTCAGATAGCTGTGCAAGGAAAGCCCATTCTAGAGCTGCTATTTCTATTCTGCATGCCATGAATGTATATTGCCTTCCCTTCAGGTTGTTCAGGTTGGATCACTAATCAGCTGATATATCCCATTGTGCCTTTGTACAGAATGATATTACAGCTGTAACCAAAGAAGGAAAAATTCTTCTAACAAATCTGGAAGTGCCTGACACTGGAGAAGCTGTCAGTTCGAGTATTGAACGTCATCAGCAAATAAATGGTGACTGGCAAACTATTAATAAGTAAGTATACTTTTTTTTTTTTTACTTCAGAGTTAACTTATTTATATTTTCAAGAAGGAATTATACATTTTTGTTACAATTCATTATGTGTGAAAGTAGTTCTGGAGCTCTGAAAATCTGAGGACTTCTTGCCAGGGTCATCCCACAGAAATTAGCTTGCCTGCAGAACTAAGTTCTGTGAACATTGTCTCTGTCTTAACCAAGTGCCACAGACTGTGACCTTGTCTATAATTCTTAATGTCCATTGACGTAGCTGTGATATAGGTGTTTTTTTTAAATAAATTCTTTGATTTTTCTTTGTTAAGATTGCTGGCTCAAGTGCATGACATGGAAACAGCTTTTGATGGATTTTGGGAAAAACACCAATTAAAAATGGAACAGTATCTGCAACTGTGGAAGTTTGAGCAAGATTTTCAAAAGGTGAGTTAAAGTTATGCATTTCTTTTCATTATTCCAGAGGTTCTTACTTCTTGAGCATCAGAATCCAGTCTTATAATATGCCCATATATACCTATAGAAAGACTGTGAAGCATGTATAAGTGAGCGTTGACTTAGAATGCACAAAACCTGTACTAGAATTCTCAGAATTCTCTTCTTCAACTTACCCATTTCCTATGAGATGGTACTTAGGTGCCAACATGTATGAAAGGGACAAAGTTTCTGTCTTCCTTGAGGTTTCTTATTCATTTTAGATATTAAGGGTTTGTAGGCTGTGTGATAGCATTCCAAGGAAATAATACCCACTTCCTACTTGGTGTTTAAATACCATATACCTGAGCTGAGCTTATGATTTAACCAGGGTTTTTTTTTTTTTTTTTTAATCCAGGACTTGATTTCTATGAAAAGCCTGACAGATGCAATTAAATCATGTTTAGTTACATATTTTTTTTAGAGAGAGTGAGAGAGAATTTTTTAATATTTATTTTTTAGTTTTCAGTGGAATCAACATCTTTTTTATTTCATTTTTATATGGTGCTGAGTATCGAACCCAGCACCCTGTGCATGCCAGGCGAGCACGCTACCACTTGAGTCACATCCCCAGCCCCTAGTTACATATTATTTAAAAGATCGAAAGTATTTTCCAGTTTCACCCACCTGGATAATCCATCATAAGTGGCCAATACCCATACTTTAGTTTCTTCCATCTGTGTAGCAGCCCTGTCGAAGCTCCTCACAGACATAGTACTTGGTCATGCTCATCAAGGAAAATTCCATTTCTTTTCTCTCCTGTGTGTGTCTAGCTTGTGTTCTGCTCATGAATGGCTTACTTGCCTGGTATTCATTTGTTCTCTAAGAATTAGGTGTTTTGGAGGAGCACAGCATTCTGGACTTAGGGCTCATTTATTCCCAACCCAATACTCACAAAATAGGACTTTCCTGAGTGTACCAACTATGTTATCTACTCGTATGTGAATTTGCATCCAATCGACATTCTTGTCCTGTGGTTAGTTTCTTCAAGTCATTGCTGTCTCTAATCAGTATTTTTGTTTTACAGTGTGCCTTATTGACAGTCTGTATCTCATAGTTAGTTGAAGAAAGTTTTTTTTGTTTAGAAGGTTCCTCTTTTTTTTTTTTTAAGAAAAACTTATTTGGGGCTGGGGTTGTAGCTCAATGGTTAAATGCTCCTGGATTCAATCCCCAGTACCAAAAACAAAACAAACTAACAAAGAACAAAGCAAGAAAAAAAGAAAGAAAAAAATCATTTGGAAATTTCAACTTATAGAAAAGTTGCAAACATAAGGAAAGTAGAAACACCCATTTATCTTCTCCCCAGATTAACTTATTTATAATATTTTGCCGAATTTGCTCTATTATTTCTATTCCCTTGCTCATATGTATATACAGATAATTTTGTGAGCATTGAGAATAAGTTTTATACATTATGAACTTCCTCCCTAAATATTTCATTTGTTTTCTAATAATTATTCTCATATATCCACAGTACAGTTATGAAATTCAGTACATTTAACAATAATGCAATACTTTTATACTTTCTACCATCAATATTTCAATTCTGTCCATTGACCCAATAATGGCCTTTATAGCATTTCTTGTTCTTTCCATACAGGGTCTAATCTAGAGTCCAGTATTGAATTGTCATGTCTCTTTAGTCTCCTTGAATCTAGAACATTTCCACAACCTTTCTTTGTATTTTATGACATTGATATTTTGAAGAATGTAGTCTATTTTAAAATAAGATTTCTTCATTTTGAGTTTGACATCTCATGATTAGCTTTAGTCTATGTGACCAACTAGATGACTACATAAATGATGTGCTCTTCTCAGGGTATCACACCTGCCTCTCATTGTTGATATGGATTTTGATTAACCAGAAAAATGTTACTGAATTTCTCCTCTCTATAGTTACCCCTTGTCCTATAACTAGTAGAATATGTGTTGAGAGGAAATTTAAAGCAATGCAATTATCTTGCTCCTAATCAAAATTTCCCATAAATTTAGCATCAATCTGTTTCTTTCCTGAACAACTCTTTACTATGGTAATTGTTAAATGATGATTTTCCAACACTTATCCATCCACAGTAGGAACTGTGCTAAAAGAAGAGTCTTTCCTTTTTCTCGTTTATTAATTTGATTCATATATTTATCATGGTTTATAATTTATTACTATTCTTTCTTCTTTTTTTTCTTTTTTGTGAATTGAACTCAGGGCCTCACATATGCTGTGCAAATGGTCTACTGCTGAACTATATCCCCAGTCCTTTTCTTTTTCCTTTTCATTTTTTTTTTTTTAAATTTGGGACCGAGTCTAAATTGCTGAGGCTGGCTTCTAACTTATAGTCCTCCTGCCTTAGACTCCCAAGTGGCTGGGTTTATAGGTGTGTACCAATGTGCCTTGCTTCTTTTACTGTTCTTCACTACTTTATTTATTATTGAAACTGGTTACTCTATCCTTGTGATGTTCCCTAATATTTTTTTAAATAAAATCATTTGTTACTTTCTGGCATGAAGAGATATTTCAAACTTATCTTGCACCTATTCTGCACCTATTAACCCCTGGAAGTGAACATTTTCTTAGGGACCCTACTTTCTTTACTGAGAAACATCATTAAAGATTAAAATGTAGTTGTTGGGGGCGGGGGTGCTGGGGTTGTGGCTCAGTGGTAGACCATTTGGTAGACCAGCACCTAGCATGTGTGAGGCTCTGGGTTCAATCCTCAGCACCACATTAAAAATAAATAAATAAAATAAAGGTATTGTGTCCAACTACAACTATTTTTTTTTAAAAAGTACTTGCCAGGTGTGCTTATCACTATAAGAGGGGCTTTGTTTGCAGGATTATTCACCATAAAGCTGGGGAATTTGTGTGCATGTATATATACATATGTATATGTTTGTATACATACATGCAAATACATGTCTACATATGACTGTACACATACATAGTGATCTTGTATGAATCATGAGTATACTTGGAAAGTTAAATTTTAACAGATTACATCTATTTGTGTAGGTAAAATAGCTGAGCATATTTTCATATGTTTAGTTTTTCATATTGACATTCTTATTTAATGACATTTACTATAAAACTTGATCATACATAGTGGAGTAGGGAGGGGGAGCATGGGAGGAATAGACAAACTCTAGATAGGGCAGAGGGGTGGGAGGGGAAGGGAGGAGGCATGGGGTTAAATGGTGGAATGTGATGGCCATTATTATTCAAAGTACATATATGAAGACACGAATTGATGTGAATAAACTGTGTATACAACCAGAGATATGAAAAATTGTGTTCTATATATGTAATAAGAACTGCAATGCATTCCAGTGTCATATATAAATAAAAATAAATTAAAAAAAACTTGATCATAAAGACAGAATGCCAGGAGGGTGCAGTTGTGCAGGCCCATAATCATAGTGACTCAAGAGGCCGAGGCAAGAGGATCATAAGTTTGAGGCCAGCCTGAGCAAACTTGTGAGACTGTCTCAGAAGAAAAAGATAAGAAAAGGTTTGTGGAATGTAATTCAGTGGTAGAGCACCCTGGGTTCAATCCCTAGTTACCCCAGCCAATAAATAAGTCTAAATAAATTCAGAATGATTAATTATTTGTATGTTTAAAAAATTTCTTTTATTTCCTATGTTTAGCTTGTCACTGAAGTTGAACTTCTATTAAATCAGCAAGCTGAGCTGGATGATGTAACAGGGAATATAGCTCAAGTAAAACAAAAAATTAAAAAATTGGAAAACTTAGATGAAAAGTCTCAGGTAAGATTGTATTTTAAATATCCACTGTGTTTATTGAGTATAATAGTTTTGTTTTGGTGGAACTAAGTAATATGAACCCTTATTGTGCTTAATCTTTTAACAGCATTCTGTTTTAATTGGCACAATGATATTGATCTAAATTTTGTTTTGTTCAATTTGGCCCCAATGTGACATTGATGGAATGACATATAGTTGTAAAGGAAGGCCTCTGAGATAATGGCTTGAACTGTTTCAACCCCAGTAGTTGGAACAACAGCATAAATCATTTTGGAAACACTAGAAAAATGTCATCAAGAATGGTATTGGGCATGTGTAACTAATTAGAACAAATTAAAAAAAAAAAGAATGGTATTAGGTACCTAGAAATGATGGAAACATACCAAAACATAATTCCTTGAATGCCCACCATATGATATATTCAGTTGAACCAAATGCAGACTCACACAATTAGTCTACTGAGTCTTACTAGCTGTGTGACCTTGGGTATATTAATTTTTAAGACTTAACCTCCTCATCTATAAATTGAGAATAAAATGATCTACTTTGCAGAGTGATTATAAGGATTTATTCAGATGTATATAAAGTAATTAGAGCAGCACCAGAGATGTTTATGAAGTACTTAAAGGAAGTAGCTCTCATTATTTCTACTAGTCTTAAAGCTTGTATTTATGGCTTTAGTACTTAACAGATTCTCTTTGTTCGCCTCTCTTGGACGTGAGAGCAAGGCCATGCTTTCTAAGATGTATTCTTAGTAAACAGATCAGTGGGTGAAACACACATATGTAAAAATAAAAACTGAGAAACAGCAATTGTAGTAACCAGTTCTGGCATTATGATTGTAGATCTCCATGAGTGTGTATTAATTTAACATTTTCCTCTGGCATAGTAGAAAAAGAAGGCAAGCTGACTTGGAAACTAGGGGTTTTTTTGTGGTACTAAGGATTGAACCTCATGCATGCTAGGTACTCTACCACTGAACTGCATCCCTAGTTGCATTTTTGTTTTCATTTTTAATTGTGGTATAAAAAAACATAAAACTTGCCATTTTAACCATTTTTATATTACAGTATTATGATTTAATTCACCATTATTTATATTTTAAGAATATGAATGTAAAACCTAGTATATATGAGGCATTACACTAAAATCTTTACACATACATGTCTCATGTTTATGACAGCCTTCTAAAATAGATGCCTTAACTCTCCCCATTTTATAGATGAGGTAATTGAAAAACAAGACCTACTGGTTTTGCCAATCATTCTACATTTGGTTGGTAAAATTGAGAAGCATCTGACTCATTCTTAGGCTTTATATTAATCATGCATAAAATTGATGAGGTGATACCACTTTATATATCTTTTCAGATATCTTAAATTAGATAATAAAATGACTCTAAATTTCACTTGAAGGCTAAATGCATATGAATAGTAAGGAAAATTCAGAAAACAAGGTAATGCTTTACCAGTTGCCTAAAACATGCAACTTTATTATACAAAGATGATAATTCAAATCAGCAATGAGAAAGAATACTCAGTAAGTGGTATAGGGACAACTGGTTAGAATTTAATCTGGGAAAACCATTTAAGATGTCAGTAAATGTTTTATATGGCATCAGTCTTATTTTAGTATGTTAAAATCTATTAACTACAATTGAAGCATAATAGTCCAATGTTCTCAGTTCAGGATTGTGCAAAACCAAAGGGAAAGAACAATCATATATCTGGAAAAGTTTTACCATGAAAGATACAGGTGAAGTTTACATAGTATCTGCTTCTATACACTCAAAGTAGATTTTTTTTAGAAAGAAATTTCTTTTCTTTTTAATACCTTTATTTCACTTATTTATTTTTATGTGGTGCTGAGGATTGAACCCAGGGTCTTGCAGGTGCTAGGTGAACGCCCTACCACTGAGCCACAACCCCAGCCCCCTCAAAGTAGTTTTTAAAAATGACCACTGACTTGATAAATTCTCTGGTAGAGATTTGCACTACTTGCCTATATCTCATTTAGGCACATATATTTTGGTGGGCTAAGTGATTACTTGTGACCAATTAGTCCAAAGAATTAAGATACAATGCTGTATGACTTAAAATGTGACATATCCCAGATGGAGTGAACAATAAAGAGAGTGAGGCTCCATCTGCCTAGATTACTTAGTGGCTGTGTGTAGCAAAGTATTCTTTTTTTTTTTTTAAAGTCCAACTATTTTACCCAGCAATAAAAGAGAATAAAATCATAGCATTTGCAGGTAAATGGATGGCATTGGAGAAGATAATGCTAAGTGAAGTTAGCCAATCCCCAAAAAACAAATGCTGAATGTTTTCTCTGATATAAGGAGGCTGACTCATAGGGGGGTAGGGAGGGGGAGCATGGGAGGAATAGATGAATTCTAGATAGGGAAGAGGGGTTGGAGGGAAAGGGAAGGGGCAGGGGATTAGCAAGGATGGTGGAATGTGATGGCCATCATTATCCAAAGTACAGGTATGAAGACATGAATTGGTGTGAACATACCTTATATACAAACAGAGGTATGAAAAATTGTGCTCTTTATGTGTAATAAGAATTGTGATGCATTCTGTTGTCATGAATTTTAAAAAAATAAAACCAATTAAAAAAGAAAAGAACAGAAAAAAATAAAGTACAACTATTAATGCATATTAATTGAACAAATTAATGGGATTCACTGCACTATTTCCATCTTTGTACATATTGTGTTTTGATCATGTCCACCTTCCCTTCCACCCTCTCTTGGCCTCACCTATCTTTTCCTCCTCTCCTCTCTTTTTCCCTTTCCCTTCACTTCCTTTCCCTTCCCATCTAGTCATCCCTCTTTTATTTTCAGGTCATCTTTTTTGTTTGTTTTCATATATAAGAGAAAACATGGGATACTCATCTTTTTGCATCTGGCTTCTTTTGCTTAACATGATGTTCTCGAGTTCCATTCATTTTCCTGCAAATGATAAGATTTCATTATTCTTAATTGCTTAATAATACTCCATTGTGTATATATACCATATTTTTTTAATGTGTCTCTCTCTTGACAGGCACCTAGGCTGATTCAGTAACTTGGTTATTATGAATAGTGCAGCAATAAACATAGGTATGCAGGTGTCTCTTTAGTATACTCACTTCATCTCCTTCAAATAAATACCCAGGCATGGTACAGCTGGATCATATATTAGTTCTAATTTTGAAGAACCTCCATGCTATTTTCCATAATACAAATTTACAGTGTATACATTTCCTTTATTCCTTCCTGCATTCTCACCTTATTTTTTTATAACAGGTTTTTTTTTTTTGACTGAGTTGAAATGGAATCTCAGTGTGGTTTTTGATTTGCAGTTCTCTGATGGCTAATAATTGTAAGTAGTTTTTAATAAATTTTTGGCCATCTATAATTCTTCTTTTGAGAAGTATCTGTTCAGATCATTTGGCTATTTATTTAAGACCTTTATTTTATTTGTTTTTTTTTTTATTTTTATTTTTATATGGTGCCGGGGATCTAACCCAGTGCCTCACACATGCTAGGCAAGTGCTCTACCACTGAGCCACAACCCCTGGCCCCTGTCTGTTTTTTAAATAACCTTATTTTATTTGTTTATATAATTAATGTGCTGAGGATTGAACCCAGTGCCTCATATGTGCTGGGTAAGCACTCTATTACTGAGCTACAACTCCAGCCCCCTCATTTGTTCATTTTTTTGATTGGACTACTTATTAAGTTGGACTATTAAGTTTTTTGAGTTCCTTATATGTTCTGCATATGAATTCTCCATCAGATGAATAACTGGCATATGTTAAGAATATTTGTCTGTAGTTTTGTTTTTTGTTGTATTCTTATGAGGTTTTGGTAGCAGGCTAAGACTGGCTTCATAGAATGAGTTTGTATGTGTTCCTTGCCTTTCTATTTTATGAAATAATTTGAAGAGCATTGATAATAGTTCTTTAATAAAAGTCTGGGTTCTTTAATATAAGTCTGGTAAGATTCAGCAGTGAATCATCTGCTCCTGGGCTTTTCTTTGTTTGGAGACTTCTTATTATTGCTTCATTGTTATTCATGTTCTAAGTTTTTTATATCCTCTTAGTTCAATTTTGATAGGTCATATGTATTTAGAAATCTGCCCATTTCTTCTAGACTTTTCAGTTTATTGGAATATGATTTTTCAAAATATTTCCTAATGACTTTCTGGATTTCAGTGGTATCTGTGGTAGTATCCCGTTTTTTGTCTCTGATTTTTATGTATTTGGGTCTTCTCTCTTGGTTAGTTTGTCTAAGGGTTTGTCAGTCTTGTTTATCTTTTCAGAGAACCAGCTCTTTGTTTTACTGATCCTTTATGTTGTTCTTTTAGTCTCTATTTCATTTTATTTTTGTCGTGATCTTTCTTTTTCTGCTTATTTTTGTTTTACCATATTTCACTACATAATCATTGCAGATTTTATGCTCTATTTTTGTGAAAAAAAAAGTAGGATACAACCATTATGTAAAGCTTTTTAAAAATGTGCTGGAAGGCTGGGGATATAGTTCAGTTGGTAGAGTGCTTGCCTCACATGTACAAGGCCCTCAGTTCAACCCCCAGCACCAAAACAAACAAACAAACAAATAATGTGCTGGTATTACTTAAATATCATTTATCACTAAATGTCTTTGGTGCAAGATTAGGATGCATAGAATACTCATGAATACATATTAATATAGTGGTGATGCTTATGCAGTGAAATATAGTAATTTGTTCTTGTTTTCCTAAGGTCTAAAGATGATGCATCATTAGATTATTTATTTGTGATGTTTTTAAAATGTAGGGACTCATAGCTATAACTTCCCTCTTAGAACTGCCTTTGAGGCCAAATGTTTTTTCTGATATGCAGATGCTGATTCATAATGAGGGGTGGCTAGGGAAGAATGGAGGAACTTTGGATTGGGCAGAGGAGAGAAGGGGAGGGGTGTGAGCGTGGAAAGGACAGTGGAATGAGATGGACATTATTACCCTATATACATGTATGATTATACTAGTGGTGTGACTTAGCACCATGTACAGCCAGGGGAATGAGAAGTTGTGTTCCATTTGTGTGCAACATGTCAAAATGCATTCTGCTGTCATGTATAACTAATTAGAACAAATAAAAAATAATAAAAGAACTGCCTCTGATAGTACATTGTGTTTCCATTTTAATTTGACTTCAGAAATTTTACAATTTCACCCCTTATTTTTTCAGTGACCCACTGTTCCTTCAAAGTGTGTTGTTCATTTTGCATGTGTTTGTGTAATTTCCCTTGCTGTTGACTTCTAGTGTCATCCCATTATGATCCAATAAGATGCAAGAAATTAGTTCAGTTTTTTGAATTTGTGAAGACATGCTTTATGGTCTAATGTGTGAACTATTTTTGGAAAAAGTTCCATGTACTGATGAAAAGAATGTGTATTCTGCAGTTGTTGAATAAAATATTTTATAGATTTCTGTTAATCTACAAAATGTTAATAATACTATAGATCGATTTGATCTATAGTATAATATAACTGATGTTTCTTTGTTATTTATCTGTGTAATCTATCTGTTGGTGACAGTGAGGGTATTAAAATCACTTGCTATTATTGTACTGGGAGTTAATTCTCCCTTTATGTCCAATAGAGTTTGCCTTATAAAATTGTCAGCTCTAATGTTTGGTGCATATATTTATAATCATCTTGTTGATGAATTGTTCCCTTTGTCAATGTGTAGTGACCTTCTTTGTCATTTCTAACTTATTTTGGCTCATAGATTACTTTGTCAGATATGAATCACTATTCCTACTTGCTTTTGGATTTTCTTTACATGGATTATCACTTTTCATCTTTTCACTTTCAGTCTGTACATATCTTTGTCAGTGAGGTGAGTTTCTTACAGGCAATGGATTATTGGATCTTGAATTTTAATCCAATCATACATCCAATCTGTGTCTTTTAATTGGAGAATTAACATATTTGCTTTCAGGATTATTATTGAAAGATGTTGTGTGGTGTGTAGTTGGTTACAGTTATGTTGTTTTTCTTCTGTTTGTTTTGAATATTCTATGTTCATGTTCTCTTACTCATCTAGATTTTGAGGTTATCTGTATTAATAATGTTTGATTCTTTCCTAATTCTCATTGGCTTATCTGAAGATTTGTTTTACCCTTATTTCAAGATTTATTTTTTCCCATGCTGTCCTGATTGTGTTTATCATTCTTCATTTTTGGATGTAGGAAGTTTTTGGTTTCTTGGGTTTTTTGTTTGTGGTGCTAGGGATTGAACCCAGGGCTTCATGCCTGCTAGGCAAGCATTATACCACTAATCTTCATCCCTAACCCCCTCTTAAATAGCTTCTGTAATGCAACACACTTGGAATCACTTCTTTCCCTCTGGCACTTCTAATAAAATCCACCAGGTATGGAGGAGGGGGTAATGGGTCACAGCTGCAGCTTGTTATAATTCCTCTCAGGTCCCCCCAGAAGGTTGGGCAGAAAAGCAAGCTGTGCTCTGTCTTTCCCAATGAACAAGTTAAGGGAATGTTCACCACACCTGAAGTAGATTCTCTCTGGAGGCTTTATAGACTGTGTGCCCTGGTAATGGTAAATGTTGGTGCTGTGCTGAGCCCTTCTTACATTACTGGATTTTGGTGAGTGTGGTGCTGTACAGGTATATATTTGCTCTGGAGGCTTTTATGTTGTGTTCCCTGAGGTGAAGCAAATGTCCATGCCTTTGTGGATCCACAGAATACCTCTAAGGGTATGGGAACCAAGCATTTTGCTAGTCTCAATCCTGGTGCCTTCAGATTTGGTCCCCATGTGAAACAATACATGACCAGTGTCACTTTATGGCACAGAGAGCAGGATTGCTGAATGTCTGTGTGCCCTGCTCCAGTCCCAGCCCACGCTCCCCCTGCAGCACATATCTCTCAGTGAGCTTTTTATCAGAGACACTCCTTCAAGCCCTGTCTTGTGTGGTTGCTGCCTCCCCAATGTGATGAGGTGTTCACTGGGTCCCTGAGATGTGATTTTGCTAGGTTTTCTGACCCCCCTAGCAGTTTAGTCTCTAACAATAGGACCCTCTGCAAGATGGCTCTTGGCCATTCTGAGGGTTTGCTGAGAGATGCAGTGAGTCCCTTCTCTAAAGCTAGCTTTTTATGCAGGTCACCTATTTATATAGACTATTTATTTGCAGGGTGCAGCCTTCTGCACCACGCTGTGTGACTCTTTCACCTTTGTCCCTTCAGAGGGGACAGTACACTTTCCCCACTAAGCTGCTGAGTACCAGGAGCTGGGATATTCCATTTCTCCTGCTTTGCTATTCTCCGTACTCCACCATGTTGTTTTCTTTCTTTGTACTGGGATTGAACTAAAGTTGCTTTGAACTCTGGATCCTCCTGCCTCTGCCTCTCAAGCTGCTGGGATTACAGGCGTGCACCAACACTCCTGGCCATCAGGTAGTCTTCTGTGCCATCAATTTCCAATGCTCATCCATGGTTCCTTATCTCCACCAGCAGCAAACTACTGTCCACTGTCCCTGTTTTGCTATCTTTTTGGGGCCAGGATACCGGGAATTGAACTCAGGCATTCAACCATTGAGCCACATCCTCAGCCCTATTTTGTATTTTATTTAGAGACAGGGTCTCACTGAGTTGCTTAGGGCCTTGCCATTGCTGAGGCTGGCTTTGAACTCACCATCCTCCTGCCTCAGCCCAGGGATTATAGGCATGCCCCACCACACCTGGCTGTTCTGCCATCTTGAAGCTCTGTCTAACTTAACCATTTTTAAATGTTTAGTTCAGTAGTGCTTGGTAAATTCATGTCACTATGCATGAGATCTTCTGAACTTTTTCATTTTTTGAAACTGAATTTCTAGACCCGTTAAACATCAACTCCCCATTTTAATCTTGGCTTTCCCACTAGCTAGACAGGCTAGTCCCTTTATCATTTCTTGCTTTAGTTTTCTTTATTTTGCCTTGATGTGCATTTCCTGAGCTCCTCCCATGATTTAGTCACTATACTGGGGGAGTCAGAAGTTGACAGAGCAGAAGCAATGATGCAAAATTCCCTTTTGACATTTATATTAGGTATGTTAAAAGTGCTCAGGTGAGGGGCTGGGGCTCAGTGGTAGAGTGCTTGCCTAGCACAGGTGAGGCACTGGGTTCAATTCTCAGCACCAGATATAAATAAATAAAATAAAGGTCCATTGACAACTAAAAAAACATTTAAAAAAAAAGTGCTCAGGTGAGCGTTTTCTCTCATTTGGAAGCTAGAGAGAGGAAAAGGATCTAATGGAAATAGAAGGGAGACCAGCAGAGTAGAGGAAGGGGATTAATAGGGAATGAGAAAGGGAGGGCATGGAGAAGTACTGGACGACAATGTCTACCAAATTATGCTGTGTCCAGTTTAAATATACCACAGTGAAGCCTATAAAAAAGGGGGAGGTAACTATGGAATGAGATTGATCCCACTATTAGGTATAATTATAATGCACCAATAAAAATAAGTAATCATGTGAATAGTGATTATAAGGAGATTTGCAAGCCTGGAATGATATGAAGTACATTAGCTTTTGCTTGGCTGGTGTGTATCTCAATTGCTGTATGTGTTTGTGTTTTAAATCTGTACATATCAGGAGAAGTAAATCTCTTCTACATTCTCAGTGGGATGGGATGTTAATTTTCAATTTCTGTAACCAGAAATGCATAAGCTTCTGCTCTAGCTAATTATTATAACTAAGTTTTTTTTTTTTTGGCAGCCTGCAGAAGTATGGCATCAAATCATCTTTTTAGCCATGTATCTCCTCTGCTCAAACAATTTGCTTCTAAATTGTTTTCTTTTTTTCCTCTGTATGAACAGAGGTCATACAGTCATTATTTTCTTTCTTTCTTAAAACCAGGATCTATTAACAAAGGCCCGATTTGTGATATTACATGGACACAGGCTTGCAGCAAATCACCATTATGCACTTGATTTAATCTGTCAGAGATGCAATGAGCTACGTTACCTTTCTGATATTTTGGTTAATGAGATCAAGGCAAAACGGATTCAGCTTAGCAGGACCTTCAAAATGCATAAACTCCTACAACAGGTAGTGTGATGGGAAATGATCCGTTTCTGAAAAAGAGAGTAAGTTTATTCTTGGGTCCTCCTGGCCTGACATAAATTGCCTTTATGGCACACTTTTTATCTTTTCAGAGGCTATAGGATCAGAGTCTGGTATAGCTGTGAATTTAATTTTCAAAGGGTCTTAAGGACTGAGTTTGATTATGGTTTTTCAGTCTATCTATTTACTGAAACAGTATTCATGGCAGATTTGGTACAGTACAAATTTTGCCCTCTGTTCTGAATATCAAGATTGTGGTGGTAATGGCTTCCTTTCTACTTTGGGTATGTCTCTGAAGACTCTGCTAGTGACAGTTTATGCTCATAACACTTTTAAAAGTCTGGGGAGCATTTTCTATAGCTTGAAATTCCTTTCAGATTTTATAGTACAGCTCTAAAAAATTAAACAGCGACTGGAAAATATTCCTCCATGGTTTGTGAATCTGAGCCCTTTTCTGATTAGGCAATGAATTGAAAAGTCACCATACAGATCTGGCATTGTCAATTGAATGTAAAATAGGAGTATCACTTACAGACATCATATCTGAACACAAACATTTTGATTTGTACATCTTTTCTGGTAAGGAAACATTTATTCTTGTCCTTTGCAATCAATAAACATTTATATTAAACTTTATAGTTTGCTAGAAGTTTCATATTTCAGTTATTGACTTTGGGAAAATAGTGTGCAACTAAAGTGTTAGTATTGAGAAAATGGCCAGACCCCTGCTGCAGAATAAATTACTTGTTATGAAATAAATGCAGTGCTTCCTAACCTTGACTGTGCATCAGTAATACCCGCGGAGCTCTGTAAAAGTATAAATGTCTGACTTATGGCCCAGAGCTGCTGAATTAGAATTTCTGGGGGCAGAACCCAGATATCTTTATCTTTGAAAAGCTCTGAAAGCAATCCTAATTCACAACAGTGAGGGCTGATGACCACTCTCTTAACGGCAAACCTGTTTCCTCTTTATTTATTCATATTTGCTTTCTTGATTTTCTCACTAGGCTCGTCAGTGCTGTGATGAAGGGGAATGTCTTTTAGCTAATCAGGAAGTGGATAAGTTTCAGTCTAAAGAAGATGCCCAGAAAGCCCTTCAAGACATTGAAAATTTTCTTGAAATGGCTCTACCTTTTATCAATTATGATGCTGAAACCCTGCAGTATGAATTTGATGTAATGTTATCTCCTGAACTCAAGGTAGGAGGTGGTTTTGTTTTGTTTTTGTTTTTGAAACAAATAAGAAAACCATAGTTATTGTACCATAAGCGCTTTTTTATCTTACAACTAACTTTGTCAACTTGAATGTGTGCAGTCCTTTTTGAGAATAAGAGGTGATAATAGTGCCACTGTCAAGCATCAAAAAATCCAAAGGCGGGGCTGGGGATGTGGCTTAAGCGCTGGCCTGGCATGTGCGGGGCACAGGGTTCGATCCTCAGCACCACATAAAAATAAAGATGTTGTGTCCACCGAAAACTAAAAAATAAATATTAAAAAAAATCCAAAGGCATGTTCTTAGTATATAATGAAGACTAATTTCTTTTGTGAGCTCCAATTTCATTATTTTCAAACTTTTAAAATATACTAGGAGCTCTTACAGACAGGGCCAAAGCTGATATAAAATGTTGGGCCCATGTCAGAAGCACTGTACCTCAAGCATCTTTGTGCCATAGTGGCCACCTACAGGTGCTCTATGAACACAGATCTGGCTTTCCTACTCTGTTTGAAATGAAGGATTAAAGGAAGGGTCTGGGTATTCTTGGAGGAGGGGGAGCAAGTAGAAGTTGGCATGGTCAAAGGGGAGAGCTATAGGTTGGTTTGGTACTGTTCCCTTGGAACATGAAGAACATGAAATATCACAAATGCTCTTATGTTGTAGATAAGAGCATTTGTGATACTATTTGCTGATAAAATGTGTAAATGACCCTAAATTTGGAGCAAGATGTAAATCCATGCCTAGCTGCAGATCCTTAGGGTTGCCCCAGAAGATCAGAAACATGCTTTGGCAATAACCAAGAGATTCTCTGGAAGCAACCAAGCTTAACTCTAATTGCCTCAAAGTATCTAGGAGGGGCAGAAGGATATGTTTCCCGTTGGTGGCTCTGAGGAGCCAGGAACACACTGAGAACTAAAGAGCAGATTAAGATGTAAAAAAGTACTATGACAATGTTGTTCATTTGATTGTTTTTAAAACAATTTCATGACTGCTTGTTAGATTTCTTCCTTGTGTTGTTTTGAGGTCTTGGCTCTATATCCATTTGAAGAAAATACATTAATCCACTTTCTGTTATTTTCCTAAATTTCTTCTAGTTGTATTTTAAACTGTTTTTGTCTGAATGTGAGAAATGTAATAGGGCTTTTGTTCTGATCCCATTTCACAATATACTTCATAGAATTCTTATGCAACCTACAGGTTCAAATGCAGACTGTCCAACTCAAGCTTGAAAATATTAGAACTATATTTGAGAATCAGCAGGCTGGTTTCAGGAACCTGAGAGATAAGCATGTGAGGCCAATCCAATTTGTGGTACCTGCCTCTGAAAATTTGATCAGAGCTAGAGCACCATTTTTTCCAACTAAACATGGTAAAAATCTCTTATATTCAACTTATCTATCTCTGCTTGTCTTACTATTATTTACTTTGTTACTCTTGATGATGAATTCTTTTTTCAGGCCTGATATATTAAAATTTTATTTTAGCATCTTTGGCCATATTTAAATGATACTGCGAAAGGCAGGAGTCACATTGAGACTATTGTATAATCATAAAATGTAGTAACAGAATAGTGCAGGATGATGGACATCTCAGGAGTGATTATTTCTACCCTTAAAAATGAGTGTGAAAATGTATTGGCATCAAGCTGACACTTTCCTTCAGTAGGTGGTAGAAGGTATATGAAACTAATATACATATGTGTTCATATTACTTATTGAATAAGTAATATTACTATGTTAAACTATTATGTCCAACTATTACTTGGTTCTTATATGTTTCTGATATGTGAATGGCTTAGATAATAGGATGGCTTTTCTTTTCTAAATAGGTAATGGTAAACAGTAATTTTATTGGCGATTTCCTGTTATAGAGTCCACTTTCAAGTTTTAATCTTTGTAGTCTATTTAACTGTGTAACATCCACTTCCTTTCTGAGTTCTGTGGGAGAAAAAATTATCCTTATAATGGTTTTGAACTACTATGAAAACTACTACCCCAAGGACTTCCTTGAGCTGCCTGTAGGGCCTCTTCAGGGAAAGTTATTTGGTGTTTGAGGCATTAAATTGGTAAAATGGGTGAACATGGACTAAAATTGGTCTCTCTGATGTAGGTAGAATCAGAGACTTCACTAGTGTAGGGAAACTGCTTTGAAATTCAGAGAAGGCTTGAGCCAGAGATAATGAACATAAAAATACAGAAGTGGATCAGATTAAAAAGAGGTGATGAAAGCAAGTAAACTAAGATAAGACAATGAAAGTTAAATAGTTGTAGTTATGAAATAGACAAATATTAAAAATAAAGCTGTGAGCAATGCCTGAAATGAATAATGCTGCCTATATTGAAGATGCTAGAAATATCAAACATACTGGGGGAAAAAGTTTTTAAAAAATCAACCAAAAAAAGGGGAGTGGTCATAGTGGGATTGGGAGGGGGAGCATGGGAGGAATAGATGAACTCTAGATAGGGCAGAGGGATTGGAGGGGAAGGGAGGGGGCATGGGGTTAGAAATGATAGTGGAATGTGATGATCATTATTATCCAAAGTACATGTATGAAGACACAAATTGGTGTGAATATACTATGTATACAACCAGAGATATGAAAATTGACCTCTTTATATGTAATAAGAGTTATAATGCATTCCACTGTTATATATAAATTTAAAAAAACTAATTTAAAAAAATTAAAAATGGGGGGGGGAGTGGATAAAATCCAAGAGCCGTGAGACTACCTATGAGAACAGGTTGATATTCCTAAGCAAAAGACATACTGTTAGGGATTTCTGGCTCCTTTGGCTGTGTGACCTTGGGCAGTTCACTTAACCTTTTTTAGCTTTAATTTCTTGGTCTGTAAAATAAGGACCATAATAACCTCCTGACTTCAAAGGGTTATTGTGAAGACAAAGTGAAAAACATTGTAGACTATAAGAGTACTCAGTTAAATATTCAAGGGACATTTAATAAACTGTACTTTCCCTCTAGTTAAGACTTCTTGCTTAATTGTCCTCTGAAGTGGTGCATCTTAGGTTGAAAATCAGGGTTGTGAATAGATTGTCCAGGACCCACTGGTATCATTAATCATTCAAAGAGAATTTTGTTTTGTATCGTTTCATTTTTCTTTCTCATATTCTTATTTAATTATACTTTCCTTCTGCAGTGGGAATTGGATACTCTTTCTTTCAAGCATGTAAGCTTTTTTCAAAAGGTACCCATTTTTATTATATTACTTATCAGTACATTTTCTGAGTTTGTGTACATGTGAAAAACCAGTTTGGCATCTAAATTCAGCAGCAATTCATTCTTGAGTTCTGTCCACAAGGAACTTTTTTCTTTCCATTTTTTTTCCATAATGACTACCCATTATTCTCAGTATTAAACTTAGCTTTGAAAATGAACATGTAAAAAGTAACTTATGCTCCTAAACTCAGAATCTGTAATAAAATGACCATTCAAAATAGAAAAAAAAAAATGGTAGTGTTAAAGTGAATCCGGCTTTCATTTTTTTGAAAGACTCTCATGCCTTCCACAACCTAGCCATTTGTTGGAAGTAGCTTGGGTTTGCTTTATTTAAGACTGCCTAATGTATTTATGAGAAAGAAGGCAGCTTAATGAGTAAATGGCATGGACACATAAATGATTTTATCCATTATTGACCATGGTTTGTAAATGAAATCAAAGCATTATTTATGCTGCAAACTTTGTTCCTTTTACTACATTGCTCTGTGAGTAAATGGGGATTATAACAATCTATTCCAGGCTGTTCTTTAGGACTTTTACTTGCAAAGACAATTATATAAGATTGAACCAAATCAAAATGTGTTTATTTTTCATAAAAATGAGTCAAACTGTTTTTTTTTGTTCTTTGTTTTTGTTCATTTTTTTCTTTGTATTGAATTGTGTACCTAGCACAGTGACTGGCAACTAGCAGGATATAATAAATATTTGTTGAATTATCAGCAAGGACAGAGAGGAATCTTGGAAGGACATTTTCAATGAGGGATAAAGCATTAAATGTGGTTTGAGCTTCTAAGTCAGTATCTGTAGTCTAGATCTTTGTTATAAGCTTTAGACTTATGCTTACAATTTGCTTCCTTGGATTTCTCATAGGAAACTTGAACTCAGTACACTCCAAATGAATGCCTTTCTCCTGCAGACCTCTTCTTCTTCTGCAAATGGCACTATGATTTCCCTAGTTGCCCAAGCTTAGGACCTCAGTTCTTGTTTCTTACTCCTGCCCCACCTCTAATTGGTCAAAAACTCGTGCATCCTGTGGATTTTTACTCCCTAAGTACCTCTCTTACCCATCTACTTTTCCATCCCTATTGCTTTCCTTACTGCCACTTTCATAGTCCAAGCTAACATCCGTGGCTTAACAACTGCAACAGTCTCCCTGTCTCCACACTCCCCCGCCTGCTTTTCCTTCCTTTTCTTCCATGTCTTACTCACACATACACTCTTGCCTCCCTTTCCCTTGCTAGCTCCTAATTCTCCTTCAGATTTCTTATTTCTAGGCCTCTTCCTTCAGGTAAGCTTTTCCTTCCCATCTCTTTCCTCCCCTGAGCTAGGTGTTCATGCCGTGATAACAGGCCTCCCAGTTTCTTCAGCTTTAGTATAATTGCTTGTTTTCTGACTCACTTGCTAGACTATAAGCTCTTTAAGGGCATGGACTGTGTACACTTCATCTTTGTGCATCCCCAAAGAGCTAAGTGTATCATATGGCACTCCATCATTTTGTATATATTTATATTGCTGAAAGAATGAATATATTTTCACAAAAGATATTTTTTATAGTTAGTTGTGTATATATTCCTTTTGCCTCTCTTAATGTATTTACAAAAAAATGATTAGTAAAACCAATGATTATTTCCTAAGTTAATTTTAGAAATAAGTTTGAACCTCTGTATATCAGGTTTCTTTAAAGTGGGGCACAAAGTGGATTTTTTTTTGAGAAACTGATTTTACATGGTAATTCCCACCAAGTTTGCTATATATTTATATGTGATTATGTAATAATCATGCATAAAAATCATATGCACAATAGATTTATATTTTAATAAACGAAAGTGAAGTATACAAAACCTAGAGTACAACATTACATCTTTTTCCTGAGTGTGCCTGGCTGCCACTGAGAATTGAAGGATAAACAGTGTTTCTTCTTGCTGAGAAGGGAATCCATGTAACTTATATGGGGGACAGCCTTTTGGCAGCCCTGGTAACTTAGTCTACTCTTTGGACCATGCCCTTGGCTTTTTAGGAACATCTAACTTATTGCTCAATAATACAGGGGCTCACCCTTTATAAATATCATAAATTATTTAAAAATAAAAATTAAAATGTTGAAAAGATGTTGGAATGAGATGGACATCATTATCCTAGGTACATGTATGAATACACATGTGGTATGACACTACATTGTGTACAAACAGAGAAATGAAAAGTTGTGCTTCAAAAAACATGCTCAATTAATAATTTCTTGATCTTTAAATTTATTTTTATGTACACAGTCAAGAATAATTCTTCCATCACCTTCAGAAAATGTTCCAGAGATAAATAAAAGAAGCCATAAGTGAGACCTAAAAAATAATAAAGTTTTGAATTTTGATGAAGGGTTTCTTTATTTGGGGAATTTTTACATATTTTTGAAATGTTAGTTTAGATAGTGGTTAGAAACATGTACTCTAATTGTAGACTATATGGATTTAAACAACTACCTCTGCTTCTTGAACAATATACTGACCTTAGTCCTTATCTATGAAATGAGTATAGGAGTCCTTACCTACCTCCCAGGGAGGATATGAGGATTATAAAAGAGGATGTATCCATAGGGCTTACATCAGTACCTGGTGTGCAGTAAGTGTCAAATAAATGTTAGATTCTCTAATTTCTAGGATAAATTAGAATTTTTTAAGAGAATTTTTGATCCATATATGATTTACAATCTGATTAAATGTTTACATGTTAGAATGACCATGAAACCTGAAAATATTTACAAATCTACAAATAATTATGAGCACTAATACCTAGCTTTGTGCTTAGCAAGTAAGAGAATGTTTGAGGAAATGGGTGAGTACTTAGCAAAATCATGCTCAATAAGAAGTTGAAATGGTATGTTATGTCTAACCAATAACTGTCTCCTATAGTGTGATTTAAAAATACTAATACAAACATGTTGGACTATGAACTCTAATTATTTAATAAATTTACATGTGTTTTCATTAAAAGTGTTGACTTTAATTCTGGTTTGAAATTCTTCTTTCATATTTTTGTACCAGGGAAGAAGACTTGGAGACAAAATCAGAGCAACTTAAAGGTAAATATCATCAATTAATTCAAAACTCATTTTATTGCTGTAGTTGCAGAATTGGTATGGGTCTTAAGCCATATTTTTCACTCACTGGACCAATATTGTGCATCTGAAGGCTGATTTTATCTTAACGATAAAAGCTGCTGCTGCATTGTGTCTAATTGCAGTACTGATATAGCCACAGATGTATGAACAATTTCTCAAGTCCTGGCTCATGTTCAGAATCACTTCTGTAGAGTATTAAGTTCCAGCTTCTCTACACCGCACCTCCATAAACCTAAATAACATCATACCTTTCTACAGAAGGAACTTCTTTCATGAAGGATTTCAATCCCTCAAGTATGAAGGGAGGACAGGGGCCAAGTTCTAATGGACCATGCAGAGGCTAACCGTGGTTCAGAAAGAAATCCATTAATTTCTTCGTATATACAGAATTCCTCCACCTCTTATCCTCAGTTTCACTTTTGTTAGAGTCTGTAAACAAGTCAGGATGGCTCCTGGCATTTTGCCAGAGAAATGTTACAGTCTGTAAACAAGTCTGGATGGTGCCTGGCAAAATGCCAGAGGGAGTGGTTTGAGAAGTAACAAAAGCGAGCTATTAAGTGTGGAGATTCCTGATTGGTTGACTGCTGTATCTAGTTTATGCTAATTAGATAAGCTGTGTGGAATGTATAAATACCGCTCCTGTCCTACAATAAAAGGCTCCTACTCCTGCTGTATCAATCTACACAAGTTCTTCGTCACCCCCCCCCCCCAGCCGGGCTGCGGCACACTTTCACAGTTTCAGTTATCCTAGGTTAATTGTGCTCCAAAAAATATTAAATAATCTAAGACGGAGACGGAAAGATAGAAAAAAGGGAGATTCAGGGTGGGGGCAGAGGAGTGCACATAATACAATATATAGTTAAAATTGTTCCATTTTATTAGGTTGTTGTTAATTTCTTAACTGTGCCTAATTTATAAGTTAAATTTTATCCTAGGTACATATGTATTGGGGAAAAAATCATAGGAATTAGTACTATTCACTTTCATGCATCCACTGGGGGTTCTGGAATGTATCCTCTGTGGATAAGTACACAGTCAAGAATACATCAATATAGGCCATTCACTGGCTTCACAATATTAATATAAGAACTTAGAATATTACCATATGCCATACATATGTACAATGGTCCTCCCTTCTCAGTTCTCCATGATAGTCTGGGATCTGCAGAGAATAGTCTCATGATAGCTACAAGAGCCTACATTTTATTTGTGTGTTCTTGATGGTAAATAAGATAAGGACATATCTCCAAGAGGCTGTATTTTATGGCATAGGTGTACAAATTGTAGAACTAGATTGCTTTTAATTTCACTTCCATCACTTACTAGTGATATAACTTTAGGTAAATTCTGTGGATCTCAGTCACCTTATTTATAAAATAGGGATAGTAATATATGACATGAAGTTAGTGTAAAGATAAAATAATATTTATGAAGCACTTGAACAATGTATGGCATATGGTAATATTCTAAGTTCTTATTTTAATATTGTGAAGCTAGTGAATGGCCTATATTGATGTATACAAGGCCTGGTCAGCATGTTGTAGGGCCACAACTTACTAGTTTCAAGAAGGAAATGAAGTGAATGCCAAATTCTGTAGTCTTCCATGTCTTTCCATTCTAGTGTCAACTCATGACACCTCTTCTTAGATTTATTCAGTTCCATATCCCCATGGAAAAATCATGAGATGGTGGCTCTGTGCATTTTCTTGGTGGAGCATCCAGCTAAACACAGTTCCAAATTGCATTCTTTTGATTCAAGTAAATTTTAGAAATCCTTAGGTTTTGAAAATAATGTTATATTTCAAATCTTTCCACATATGTATTTCAGAAATCTGATAGGAGTAAATGGAACATACCTACCTCATAAATGTAGTATGCAGCATTTTTAGTGTTAAGTATAATATTAAAATGATGATAATAGTTGGTACATTTGCCAGGTGTAACAAAGCATATTCGCAGGAGGGAATATGATAAAAGTGATAACCCACAGACTTTGACACTTGGGCTTGACTGTCTCATCATCTATTAAATATGAGACTTTTAAAAATATTAGTCTTATAATTACTCTTTAAAATTTTTTTTTGTAGTTATAGATGGACAGAATGCCTTTATTTTATTTGTTTTTATGTGGTGCTGAGGATCAAACCCAGTGCCTCACACATGCTAGGCAAGCCCTCTGCCACTAAGCTACAGCCCCAGTCCTTAAGCATGTGACTTTGATCATGTTACTAAACCTCTATGAGCCTCATTTTTCCCCATCTTTAAAATGGAAAAAAGAATGCCTTAGCTTTCTAAATTGCTGAGGATTGATTACAATGATATATGTCAAGCACTTAGGATTGTGTCTGCATAATATGTAGAAATTTGTTACAAATGTTCTTGTTCACAAGTATTGCCATGCATAGGCCACATTTTTTTGAAATATTTAATTGATAAATCCAGTACTTCATTTTAGGTTTTAGCTGTCACAAAGTAATGTTGCATTTACTTAGAGGTCAGGTTTTTGGCAAGCTCAAAGGTCTAATATAGGTGGGATCCCAGGAATATATTTTAAATGTTTCTGAAGAGCAGTTAACCATCACAAATTTCATGTAGTTGACTCAGTAGACCAGTCCAGGTTCTGTAGATTCTGCAAAATAAGGCAACAGTTTAGGATCAGGGAAGCCATTTGTAGGAACAACTAACATGTGACAGAGAGGAGAGACAGAGATGTACAAGGTATAGCCATTTTGAAAAAGGATAGTTCTGTGTCTCAGTAGCCCTGGAAATGCATCATTAGATTTTATCACATTTAAGTTTTTGATGATACCACTGAGTTATTAAGAAAAGAATCATTTATGTTGTATGCCTTTGATTAAAAAACTTAAGGATGCATGTAATATTTGCTAGGAGCTTTTCTGTAAAAAACTAAGACTAAAAAGCCATTTTGGTTTTTCAATGACTAAATTTTAATTATCTGGAAAATATACTTTTATGAATTGACTTTCTTTCCCCAAAGTGCCAGATAAATGAAAATATACAAAATAAATTAGTATCTTAAATCTTATCTTTCCAAGTAAGTCAAATCTTTCATTTTACTAATATATATCAAAACTACTTTTTAAAAAATCTGTTATTTTTCAGTTTATGTACAGTTAGGACCTGAAGTAAACCTAATTTGAGCTCTGTGTCCTTGAAGAACTATACACATACATGCTAATATAACTTTTATTTTCATAATTTCAGATTGAAGTAGTCCATGATTGTCAGGAGAAGAGAAGTTCTGCTCAACCCTCCAGTTTGGACAATGACAATAGCTTGGATGTTTTAAAGAAGTATCTTTTATTTATTTACATAAACTCACATACACATCACCCCCGTAGGACTCTTTGGTTCAGTGTTGAAAAGCCAATGTGCTTAGAATTTTGAGCACATTTCCAGCATGTCATGCCCACTGTAATCCTAGTGGCTTTGGATGCTGATGCAGGAGGATGGCAAGTTCAAGGCCAGCCTCAGCAACTTAGTGAGGCCCTGAGAAACTTAGCAAGACCCTGTCTCAAAATAATTTTTTTGTGTTCACAGAATTGGGTTCTTCTTGGGTGTGATAAAGAGTGCTAGTTGAGGTGTGAGTCTTGAATTTAGGCTTCACCAACCTATAGTCTGTTTATGTTACTTGAGGAAAATTATTTAGAATTTTTCAGAATTTTCATGTCTCTTTTTTTTTCCAGATGGGAAATAAAAATGAAACGTTTTTCTTTTTAATTTGTTTTTTTAGCTTTAGTGAGGTATAATTGACAACTATCATTATATATATTTAAAGAATATAATGTGATACTTTGAGACTTTGATACAAGCATATTTTATGAAGTGATTATCATACTTGAGTTAGTTAACACATCTGTCACCTGATAAATTTGCTTCTTTTGGTGGTGAGGCTACTAAGTATCTAAGATCTACTTTCATTTTTTTGATAGATCATTACATTTATTTAGTACAATGTCCTTGCTTTATAAATATTACCCCAACCAAGTGGGACTTATAAAAAGCTAGGTGAAGAACATTGAGGAACAGTTAGATAACATGCCCACTAGTAAACAGCAGATCTAGGGTTTGAGGCCAAGAAGTTTGATTTAGGAGTTTGTATACTTTATCACTTTTTTTTTAGTACCTGGGACTAAACCCAGGGATGCTTTGCCATTGAGCTACATCCCCAGTTTTTATTTTTTTTATTTTGAGACGGCATCTCACTAAAATTGCTTAGACTAGCCTCAAACGTATGATCCTGTGTCTCAGCCTCCCAAGTTGCTGGTATCACTGGGATTACAGGCATGTGCCACTGTGCCCAGCCTCTTTATTGCTTCTTAAAGTCACATATATCCATATCTTATTGAAGTTAACTGACATTATAAACTGAACATTCTTAAAATATCTGCTTTAAGTTTTTAAGAGCCATTTTGGGTGTGCAGTTCAATAGTGATCACTATATCTGCTGTGTAACAGCTAAGATCTATTTTCTAAGCAAATTTCCAGTATATGATACAGTATAAAAATTAGAGTCAGCATGTGGATGTTCAGTCCCCAGAGCTGATTCAACTTATAAGTGAAAGTTCAAACCCTTTGGTCAACATCATTTCTTCTTTTTTAAAAAAGGTGAAAATGAATGAAATGAAAAAGGATTGTATAGATACTGTTTTAAAGACACTAACATTAATCATTGTTTGGCTAACTTTTACAATATTGTATTAATATTCTAGACTTGCATATTTGCCTTTTAAATTTTATGTCACAGAATAAGTAGCCAGTATTTTGCAGCAAGTTGAATGTGGACTTTTAAATGCTACATGCTTTAAGATGTTAGAAGACAAAAAGAAAGTAAAAAAGAACCAAAGAGTAGTTAAATTAAATGGATTACTTATATTGGTAAGAGGAAAATTAAATATAAAGTCAATTGATGTTGAAATGTATTTTACTTTACAGAGACAGACAAAATTACTACAGAAACTTAAGTATGATTTACACTTGGGAAGACCAGTATAATACATTTATTGCATGTCTTAGAAAAATTCAGAATATTACCTGGAACAGGGAAAAATGATGCTAAGAATGCTACTATCTTTTATTATTTTTTTTTTTTTTGAGAAAGGGTACTAAGAACTCAGAAAAGTATACCACCCAAAAATAAATACATAAACATCAGACATTTAGGAATAGATTTTGTGAGTTTTTAGTAAATTGATTCTTAATCTTAGTGAATTAGAAATAATTTTGTAAGTCAATAATAACCCTTGAGTACCCCTGTTTCTTTTGAATATATTTTAAACAGCCCTGTGGGTGGTACTTTCCGTTATTTTTATGCTAAAACCCAAACCACTGGTAGTTCCAATGACTTAAGTATTTTTTCCTTCAAAGACTTATAATAACTGAAACAATGTTATACAATTCTAAATAATAGAATAACTGGTAAATATGGTCTTTTCATTTTAGCCATGTCCTAAATGAGCTGATACAGACTGAGAGAGTGTATGTTCGAGAGCTATTTACTGTTCTGTTGGTAAGTGACTCCCGTTTTCCTGAATGGTCCCTTGATACATTCATTAGAAAGTGTTTAAGGCAATTTTCTAGTTCTGCCCCCTTCCTCAATTGTCACATGGTAATAGTGGGTATGGCACCCATTGTTTGAGGCTGCATGTTAAAATGTGTATATTTATATTCTCTCTCAGTACTGGGAATGGTTGATTCAGAATTTATTACAGAAGAGAAATGCTATTCTCTTAGGGATACAGTGGATTGTTATAATTAATCCCAAGGTGCTATTTAGAGATTGTGGTAAAAAGAACCGAGAAGAGGATAAAAATACTCATTTGACATAAATGTCACAATATTTATTTGGTCAGAAAAAAATCTAAACACGTATTGCCAATTTAAGAAGTTGATTACCTGTACTATACTTTTTCATACTTGATTTCTATTTTGTTTCCAACAATGCAGCTATCTTGAAAGGCCAAAGACGGTCATTTTATTCTGCCAATCCAGTGGAAATCCTTGACTTCCCTATGTTGCCTTCTAAAGAAAAATGTTATAGATAACATTTAAATATCCTAGATCCCAAAGTTAACATTCAAACAACTTTACCCACAAATCCCTATATATTCTACTGTACTTAGACCTTTAGTTGCCCAATCAACTATTAATGTAAATATTATAAAGAAGCCTAAATATATTTATTTTGAATAGGGCTATCGAGCGGAGATGGATAATCCAGAGATGTTTGATCTTATGCCACCTGTCCTGAGAAATAAAAAAGATGTTCTCTTTGGAAATATGGCAGAAATATATGAATTCCATAACAAGTATGTAGTTGTCAAAATGAATATTTTTCATGATATTTTTGAAAGGGCCATTGACCAATTTATTATTTTTCACATTTTTTCTCTGAAAATTTCACAGCATTTTCATGAGCAGTCTGGAAAATTGCTCTGATGCTCCAGAAAGAGTGGGACCTTGCTTCCTGGAAAGGGTTAGTCTAATTATTTTTAAGTTATATAAATACGGGCCACCAAAATAAAAACTCACTTATGAGAGTATATTCAGAGTCAAAATAGGTTTTTAAAACATCTTTGTTTTTGGAGAAGTGACATCAACTCCAGTAAGTACTTAATGCAAAACTAAGTTTTGTTGTAGAAACTGATGTAATGGGGTATCCAGAGCATGCATTGCATATTCTATAGTAGCAAATATTTCAGTGTCTCAACTCCTAGGAATGGTGATCCTAGGGATTCAGGGATCATTCTGGGTGTTAAAATGTGAGAGTTGGGATCGTCTTAGCAAAACCACCCTGGGCTTGGTTATTTTTAACCTAAAAGATGCCTTGGTATTCCCCTGCTATTCATGTAAAAATCTTATAATTAGATCTAGTCTGGCATTCAGCCAGCAAGGCATTTATCACAGGAATTTCACAAAACAGAAAGTTGTCTTTTCTTTTAATTTGACTAAGTCATTCAGGGAGGCTCATCATTCCATGTCCCAAGAGTACACTCAGTAAAATTGACTTTCTAGGTTAGTGATTGTGTTCTCCTCCATTAGAGTTTTCCCTCAGAAATAGATTTTTGCTTACCCTGTTTTGCTTTTCTAGTTCCTCCTCTTCCTGAAAGATCAGTTCTGCTTTGGTTTGGGAGTCATTTTTGATAGATATAATTGTTGAAACTCATTTAAAATGAGTATTTGTCCCAGAAAGTGTTTATAAAATGAGAAGAGAATAAGGCTAAGAAAGAACTGCATATCACTGTCTTTCTCAACGTGTTCTAACTTGAAACTCATTTGAACTATGGACAGTTTCTTTCCCAACAGTGGTGAATCTTCCCTTTGGATTACTACATAAGACCACTACTCACTGGAAATTTTACATTTACTGTATATCTTTACATGTATACACATATTCTCTCACAAACTTGATGAGAAAATCTTTGAGACAGGGTCCATATCCTATATATGTATCTCTCATGAAGTTAGTAGAGTTCTTGGCAGCTAGTAATGGTTTAATAAATGATTATTGATGGTAATGTTTATTCATTAAACAACCATCCACTGAACATCTGCTTTGTACCAAGTGCTGTGCTAGGTGATGTGGATACCCAGCCAAAGACTATTTATTCAGGTAGAAAAACATGGAAACCATTAATTTCATATAGCACCAGTTGTCCTATATTAGAGATAAACAAAGGGTCCTGTGGGAGTCCAAATAAGGAACATCATGTTAGCTTTTCATTGCTGGAACAAAATGCCTGAGAAAAACAATTTAGAGAGGGAAAGATTAATTTTGCTCATGGCTTCAGCAGTTTCAGTTCATGATCAGCTGGCTCCATAGCTTTGGACCTGAGGCAAGTAGAACATCATGGCAGAAAGGTGTGGTGGGAAGGTTTTGAGGGACATGATAGCAATACATTTCCAGGGCACACACCCAGTGATCTTACTTCCTTCTGCTAGATCCCACCTCCTAATGTTTCCACCATTTCCCACTAATATCAAATTATTATCATCAATGGATTAATCCACTGATGAGGTCAGATCCCCAATAATCCATTTACTTCCCCAAAAGCCCCACCTCTGAACATTGCTGCATTAAGCCTTCAACACATGAGCCTTTGGGGGTCATTCCAGATCTAAACCATAACAGGCATCTTATGCATCTGTGGGGTATAAGCAAATGGCTTTATAGAAGAGATGACTCGTGAGATGAATGGTAAAGAATGAGTAGGATATAGCATAAATGAGTATTATGGAGAGAAAATTGCATAGGCAGATACCTAGATGGGTTATGCTACAGTGGTGATGCCCCAGTGATGAACCAAGGACTGCAGGCTGACTTGAAGGTTAGCTCCAAATTCATTCACTAGGGAACTGAGAGACTAATAGCGTAGAAAGAGCACATTACTTGGCTATGAAAAGATTTTTTATTCAGACAGAGAAGCCTTTCCCCCACTTAACTTTCAAACTTGGCAGGTGGAAGTTCAGAAAATCATAAGTCCCACCATCAGGTCCAACACATATGCTGATCTTTGAATATGAAGAGGGCTCCTTTAGGTCATAGTCCCTGTTATGCTTTGCCATACTCACTCTTACTCAGCTTTTCTTGGTAAGAAAAGTTCATATTTGCAAATTGTTAATATGTTTGAATTTGTTCTCATCACAGAAGGATGATTTTCAGATATATGCAAAATACTGTCAGAATAAGCCTAGATCAGAGATAATTTGGAAGAAGTATTCAGAATGTGCCTTTTTCCAGGTATGATAATTAAGTATTGGATATGTTTTTTTTCTGGGAGATAGTGGGATACTTCTTATTTATAAGTTCATTTCTACTTTGAGTAAATTATATATGCATGTAAGTTAAAGAGCAATTCTCCTGTCTCCAAAATACACACACACGCACACACTTTCTGTTCCCTAGAAGCAACCACTTCCTGTGCTTTTAACTACTTCTTTTGATATTTACCTCTATATCTCCAAATAGCATGCTCATCCTCCTCCTTCCTACCCTGTAAAAAGAGGATTTAGCTCTTTCACTGCCACTTGACCATATACACATATAGTTCTTTCTTCCAAAATTTCCAATACAGTTATATTGTAATTTTTGTTAGATTTATGTACTGCATTTAATTGTTGAGACTGTTATTTCTCTGCTTAAATAATCCATTTGATATAGTATGATTGCTTTTCCTCCCTTTTTGTTTTTCTTACAGTTGTTTTTTTTACTCACATAATTTTCTAGATACTTGTTTTAATTCTACCAACACTTCTTCCAGTTTTAGGAGTTATAAAAATATACTCTTGCAATATTTATATACATTGATTTTCTTTAAATTGTATCTTCTTGAAGAAGTATCTCCTAGGGGTTTCTGGCCAGCTAATCTTGACTCACTAGGCCTGATGCATAGCTTTCATCTCAGGATCTTGGTGAATATCATTTTTGAGACACCGTTCACTTGTCTCTTGAATAGGTTCTCTTGTTTCCTAGGTGCCACAACCTTATCATTCTTGTTGTATTTCCTTGTTTGGTAGAACATATCTTCCAGTAATGTGTTGAGAAAATGTGCAATATAGGTAAATGTTTTTAAGAATGTGTGTGTGTGCAAATATCTTTTTTTTCTTCCATAACACTTTGATTGCTAACATGACTGGGTATAAAGTTCTAGGTAAGAAATGATAATCCTCAGAAATTTAAAGGAATTGCTAAATTGCATCATTTTTGGGGGGGGTCGTACCAGGGATTGAACCCAGGGGCACTCCACCACTGAGCCACATCCTCATTCCTATTTTGTATTTTATTTAGAGACAGGGTCTCATTCAATTGCTTAGTGCTTTGCCATTGCCAAGGCTGGCTTTGAACTTGTAATCCTCCTGCCTCAGCCTTCTTAGCTGCTGGGATTACAAGCATGTTCCACTGCACCCGGCTAGCATCAGATTTTTGCTACCTAGTTGAGCATAATAGTATGTTTATCTGAGAGATTTTGATTTTCATGTTTATTTTTAGCCTTTTGTGCCCATTTAAATTTTGGGGGGGAACAGTTTTATTGAAATATAAGGAAAATACTATAAAATTCACTGTTTAAATATATATAGTTCAGTGGTTTTCTATATTTACAAGATTGTACAACCATGGCCGCAGTCAATTTAGGAACATTTTTACTTTTATAAAGAAAACACCCTGTACCCTCTAGCAAGTCACCTCCTATTTCTCCCAATCCCTACAGCCCTAGGCAACCCCTATTCTGCTTTCTGTCTCTCATGGATTTGCCTGTTATGGGCATTTTATGTAAATGGAATCCCGTAATATATGATCTTTGTGTTTAGCTTCTTTCACTTAGCTTGTTAGCAGGTGTCATCTATGTTGTACCATTTATCAGTTCTTCATTCCTTCTTTATGTCAGAATAATATTTCATTGAGTGATTATATTACATTTCATTTACCCAGTCATCAGTTCTGGGACATTTGGGGTGTTTCCACCTTTTGATTAGTATGAATGATGCTGCTAGGAAAACTTTTCCACTAGTTTTTGTGTAAATATGTGGTTTATTTTAAAATTTCTATTGGCTGTATACATGTAAGTAAAATTGCTGGATAATACTGTGACTTTGTGTCAGCCTTTTAAAGGATATATTGGACTGTTTTCCAAACTGGCTACACTGTTTCACATTCCTGCCAACAATATGTATGAGGGTACTGATTGTTCCACATCCTTACCAACACTCCTTAATATCTAATTATTTCTTAAATGGGCTTTGAACAACCATTCTTTTTGAACCCCAGATTTATTTTGTGTCTTCAGAGTTACTTCATGTCTGTAATCTTGAGTTTTTGTAATGGGGGTATGTGTGTGTTTGTGGTGGGTGGTGCGGGGGAAATGGTCTATAAAAGATTGATCCTTTCCTCGGCTTTTTCCTCTGCCAACTTGAGATTTGTTTTTCTCAAGCATGCTCAATTGTTTACCACTTGTTGGTGTGGTTTTCATTTTCCAAATTTGACAATATTTTCTAGTTTCTCATCTTTGGGTTTTTGCCTTCTGAAAAGTATCTTTTCCATCATTTTACTTAGCTTTCAGGAATGAGGAGCTGCATATGCATGCACCAGCCCACTATCTTTAACCATACATTATTAATAATTATTCTTTGAATTAGATTGAATATTATATTTTATCCATATCCAGTGGAGGGTCCTGGATCTTATTTAGTTCATTTTATGTTCTGAATTTCCTATATGTATATTTATTCCTCACCATCCCCATCTTGCCCTAATTATGGGCCCTCCACTATTCCCAGGACCCAATGTCATGACCCTTATATTTATAGTGGCAGTGAGCCAATTACTGAATGAAATATAGCACCAGTTGATAAAGACTGTATTTTTCTTGTGATCTTAAAAAAATCTGTTCTCATGCCCAGTCTGATTTAGCACAACCTATTTCTTTTCTGGGCCTTGGCCTGTGGAGCTGAGTCTTTTGTTAATTTTCTTGAATATATTGAAGAACTTTTTATCCTGCTAATCTATTGTCATTCCTTGCTTTCTCACCTTAAACATTACACATCAATAAGAATTTACATGTCAAACCTTTTTATTGTTCAGAATGTTAGAATTTTCTACCTCCCAAGTCCTTGAAATACTGTTTATTGTTTCTCAGTTATAATGTCTTAAAATTTCTGTACCATATGTAATACTAATTTTTCTGATAAATGTTCTTTGAGATGTAAGCAACATTCATGCATTGAGTCTCATCAAAGAACACTTGGTATTTTTACATGTACATGTGTTAATTTAAATTTATTGATAATTATCTTTTAATGGCAGGAATGTCAGAGAAAATTAAAACACAGACTTGGTCTGGATTCCTATTTGCTCAAGCCAGTACAGCGAATCACTAAATATCAGTTACTCTTAAAGGTAATTACATGAAACATTTCTTTCCTTTTTTACTCACATTTTTGGGTCAGATATGAAAAAGCCATTAAAAAGGAAGTTGCTGACTAGGAAGTGCTAGAAATAGGTAGGCTCATTGAGTGGGTAGGCAGTAGTTGGCAGTAGACAGTGCAGTGTGCTCCTTCACGATGGCAGTGCAGAGGACAGGCATAGATAACAGGCTGAGAACATCTGGAGGATTAAGTATTTAATTCTCCATGCAAGTTACTTAATTTATGTACAGTGTTTTACTAAAGAACTTTTGGTATTAAGATCTAAATAAACATTTCTTTGAAACTGTACTTCATATTGCTTTCTCAATCAACAATGCCAATGCTGCTCTTCTAGTGAAAAGATTACTAAAATATTGAGCTAAGTATGGATATAACATAGTTTGCTTTAAAATGTATTTTCATAATGTCCTATGCTGTCCTGAATGCATCATGGATAAAACAAGTTATTGTACGTAGAGAATGAAAAAACCCACATATATAATTGCTTTAAAAATAATATCTAGTGTGACTAAATAGCTATTGTTTTTCAGCTCCAAAAGCATTGGGTGTCTTTGTTGCATAGAGTTCAGTCAGTCTTCTACTTCTTTCCCAATTTTGACACTGATTAAATAGATAAATGTGACAAAGAGCATATGAAAGAAATTATCCAAAAGTGCCATTATCTTTGATTCCTGCTTGAGAGCATGTTAGCCAAAAATTTATTCATTTTCTGCAGCTATGTTAATATGTGCTTAATATTAAGATTAATTCTTGATTTCTAATTACAGGAGCTATTAAAATATAGCAAGGACTGTGAAGGATCTACTCAATTAAAGGAGGCCCTTGACACAATGCTGGATTTACTGAAGTCAGTTAATGACTCCATGCATCAGATTGCAATAAATGGCTACATTGTAAGTAAACTTTTAAGACTATGAATTTTTAGGGAGTAAGCTTGTCACCATCACTTTCTTACCCTTCTGAAATCACCTGAAAAAGAAAATAGAAGAGGTAGATAAATGGATATCAAAATATTAGCATCATTACTCATTATGCATCATTACAGATCAAGTGGATTTGCAATGTTCTTATCTTCAACAGCCTGTTCCCAAGTCCAGACCTAGGGAGATTTCGATTGAAAGAATGTTTGGGTCACCAAAAGAGTCATATTGTCCCAGAACTGCTGCTTGCCCTAGCCTAGGAAAGATAGGGTTTTAATAAAAAGAGGACATCTTTGGAGCTTGCAGCCTTTTAATAAATTAGCTCCACCCAGTGGGGAAACTTGGACCTGGTGTATGTCAGGTACCTAACCGGATTGAGGAATCTATGGGAGTTACCTTGTCATCTCTCATGGAATTGATATGAAGCCAGGGAAAAGGAAATTTCTTTTGGCCTCCACCCCTACAGTAATTTTATACAGATGTGATGCATGGCACATTTTAATTTAAAAAGTTATAATGAATGCAGTTTTAAAAACATACAAATTATGCTTCAGGGTTTTAGTAGGTCAAGCTAAACACTAAATGCTGATGTCAGAGATTTGAATGTAGCTTTGCCTTCTACTAATGGGATTTGATTTTCTATTCTAGGGAAACTTAAATGAGCTTGGCAAGATGATAATGCACGGTGGATTCAGTGTCTGGATAGGGCACAAGAAAGGTGCTACAAAAATGAAGGATTTTGCTAGATTCAAACCAATGCAGCGACACCTCTTCTTGTATGAGAAAGCTGTTGTTTTCTGCAAAAGGCGCACTGAATCTGGAGAAGGCTCTGATAGATACCCATCATATAGTTTTAAGCATTGTTTGAAAGTAAGACAATTTGGATTGTGTAATGTAATAGCATTCTCTATATATGTTTCATTCTGTACACTTTTTTGGTTCAAGTGGGTGGGTTTTATACTTTGTTTAAAAGGAATCTTCAGTAGAAGTATTATTGAAGTCCAATAAAGCAGAACTTCTTTGCTCAAAATGAGAGTGAGGGAGTACAAAACTTGTATACCTTCTTTTCTCCCTCTCAGCAGCATTCCCGGGTATTCTCCAAGGGGCTCTCTAGCAATCTGCAGAGCACAGTTTGAAATGACAGGGAGAGATCCACATTCCCCCATGAGCACTCTCTTACCAGTGGTACCAGATGCAGTTCTTGATTTATTAGCAAGGGACCTTTATATTTTAGGAGAGGCAAGGAGGAAAGGATTTCTCCCTTTTCCTCAAAGCAGTTTAAAATTGAAGGACTTTCATACTCAGCATACTTTCCTTTCTGTATTCCTCCTCCATTCCCAAGCATCATGCTTTCTGTGTGTCCAAAGCTACCTATGGCTGAATCCATTCCATACCTGTTCTTTCGTATCCCTTAAAATTATATATTATTTCCTGTAAACCAAGTTTTCATTCTGCCAAAATGTTAGTGTGTATTAAAGTGGGAGCAGTAAATTACTTGAGGAAGTCACTGACAACCCAGTAATACTTCCAGCTGGTTTTACTATCAGAACCGGAGGAATATCCAATTCACATGAGGCTGTAATTGGTTTTGATTTCTCTGTGCTTCATGTTTTTCAAGTTCTAAATTCTAAAAGCAACATGATATCTGTTGCATAGAAGTTGCAAAATACAGAAAACTATTATTCTTTATTCTGCAGTCACTATCATTTAGTCATTTTTCATGAAAATGTTTTATCATAGTTGTCATTACTAGTATATTTGAGAACCAGTAGAATTTTCAGCATTTTTAAAGAGGACAGGCAGTGTCCTGTGATAGGCCTTTGGAAATAATATAAGAAGGCTACCAGATAAGCAGAGTCTGCTTTTGATTCTCCCCATAGGGTCAGCTGCCTCTTGCTGTTCCAAACAAGATTCCTGTGCAGGGTTGGGTCTCTGAACCCTTCCCACTATTTTCCCTTCTTCACTTCTGTATCCACAGCAGCTTCACCGTTTAATTTTTATCATTTTTTTTAGTTGTAGATGGACACAATATCTTAATTTTATTTATTTATTTATATGTGGTGCTGAGGTTTGAACCCAGTGTCTCATGCATGCTAGGCAAGCACTCTACCACTGAGCCACAACCCCAGCCCTGCTTCTTTTTTTTCCAATTTTTTTTAGTTGTAGTTGGACATAATACCTTTATTTTATTTTTATGTGGTGCTGAGGCTCAAACCCAGCTAGGCAAGCACTCTACTATTTAGCTACAGCCCCAGCCCAGCTTCATAGCTTCTTTAGGATTCCAGCTGTCATTATCACAAATGCCCAGATGCTACTTTGATGCTTGCAGTCTACGTCCAAAACCCCAAATCTCTAAGGGTCTTTTATGACTCTAATGAACATTGATTGAGAGCCAAGGAGTCATAATTTATTTCAGACAGGGTTTAGATCTTTTGCTGTGTGTACCTATTCCTTGGGAAGGTACTTTGCTTTCCTAGGCATATTTTTACCCAAATCCATTTGATTCACTTTTTAGTTGTAAGGTGACCTAGTTACTACCTAACGTAGCACTTCTGATGTGTATTGATTTTTCTATTTTAGTTTTTTAATTTTTTAAAAAAATTTTTTGGTACTGGGGATTGAACTCGGGGTACTGAAGCACTATGCCACATTCCCAGCCCTTTTTATTTTTTATGTTGAGACAGGGTCTCACTAAGTTGCTGAGGCTGGTCTCAAACTTTTCATCTTTCTGCCTCAGCTTCCCAAGTTGCTGGGATTACAGGCATGCACTACCATGCCTGACTTTACTTGTATTTTGACATACTGATGGGCATGCCAACATAATATTTTTCAAGTACATTAAAGTAAGGTGGGATTGATATGAAGTAATGATGTCAGGGGAATTGAAAATACAATAGTTACCATGGAAATGGCATGGGATAGATGAAGGAAACATTTCAAGGGAAGGTAGACTTGAGCTGAGTGACTTGCTAGATACAAGAAATAAATAATACTTGACATTTGAAGAAAGAAAATCTGTCAGATTCTTCTTTGGTTCCCCAACAATTTCAAGTATCCTTAATTAAAAAAAAAATGAGACATTGATGCTGCAAGCTTTTAAACCAGGATTCCTTGTAAACTGGTGATGCTTTAGACTGAGAAATCAGGGTATTTCTTAGGTCTTATTATGCTTACTTCCTCTTGCTCATGTACCATGGAGATTCCACCATTAAGAAATTGCTAGTATTATTAGACAGCATGTTGTTAGTGAACCATCAGGGTAATTGAATTTAAAGTCTTACCCTTGGTGGGCTTGCCCAGTACAGACACGCTACTGCTGAGCAACTTGTCGCTCACTTTAAATGGACTCTTTGTCTTGACTGCATCACAGCAAACTGGAGTCTCATGGCTTGATCATGTCTTTCTAATGAACACATGCTATATTTTAAGCCAGCCACTTATATGCAAAGACAAACTCTATGTAAGATCACAGTTAACCAGAGGAAGAAATTTGAGTTCTTCAGATTCCTCAGTTCATGTGTTACTATTATCACCAATTCTTTTAATTAAAAAAAAAAAAAAAAAAAACATGCACATAGTTCTTACAATGTGTTGTCCAACTCCAAAATTCATTTGGTCACTAGAGATATGCTCTATGCCAGCAATGACAAATAACAAAACTAATGGAATTCAAATAAGAGAAGGAATAGGAAATGAATTCATATTTTTATTGGTTCATTATAATAGTGGGATTAATACATGCATGTAACATAAGAATTCATTTTTTAAATAGTTCATTTTGTAATCAGCATTTAATGTACACTATTTAATTCTTAAATGAGCTCCTTGAAATAGGTGTTCTTCCCATTGCATAGTTAGGGAAATGGAATTTTAGAAAAGTTCAGCAACTAGCACCAGGAAACACTAGTGAATGGTAGAGATGGACTTCCAACCCAGCCTTCTCTGACTTCAAAGCCCATTTGCTTTCTTATCATATTATTAAGGGAAGATGGTGTGTTGAAACAAAATTAATTTAAAAAAAGATTGAATGTGAGATTATTATTTTTATTCTTTGAAGATATACATGACAGTAGAGTGTATTTTGACACATTATAAATACAGAGTGAGATTATTATTCATCTTACATCTTAATATTTGAGCAAAAGTAGGTTACAGTCATATAGTAAGAATATAAATATAAATTTTGAAAGTAACTTCCACCTACATTCAGGGTGGAGTTAGAGGCTCTTTCATTAGGTTGCATTTCATTTCTAAGCATAATTGCTTTCCTTTTCCTTGATTTGGGAGTCTCACTAGCACTACCCTTAATGATTCTCGGTTTTAATTAGGGCCATTTGGGGGGCTCATAAGTGGAACAGTATGAGATAGTCTTTCAGGTAATTAGGTAGGAATTGAAAGAAAAGAGGAAAGGGAGAAAAGAGCTAAAAGAGAATGTGCATACAAGGGAGTGAAATTGCCCCAAATGTAATTAACCGAGGTATTAGCAGCAAAGGATGAAAGAAAATTGTGCAAAGTACAGACATTTAGAGGAGGAGAAAAGCTGTGGTAAGGAAAAGATACTGTGTACAAAAGTTTTACTGACTATAGGAAGATATCACTGTCTTATGATAGAGATTTTGGTTTCTATAGAGTCTGAAGGATTGGTGGAAGTAGAGAGATTCCTAGCTAGTTCTTCCTTGCCTTATAAATTGGATGTTTATAACTTGTAGGGATACTATAGAGATTAGTTAATCTTGTAAGTTTATTACTTATCTGACAGATAATAATTTCAAAAACTAAATTTCATTAATTTCAGGTGGCTTTTCTCACTAATGTTTAATTAGATTTCACTGATAATTTTCTTGAATAACACACAGATAATTTATAAAAGAATTGAATCATAGATGGGCTGTGTGGATGTTTAGATTTATAACATTTGTGTCAATCACTGGAATGGAGCTTGCAGTCTGAACACCAAAAGTGCATAGTTCCATGAAAACAAATACTCGTGCCTATGATTGTTTTTATTTTGCCCAAATAAAACATTCTCTTTAACTAAGAATATGATTGGGTATATTTAATGTAATTGTATATTCAAAATAAAATGCTCATGAAAATTTTATTTCTTATAGATGGATGAAGTTGGAATCACAGAATATGTAAAAGGTGACAACCGCAAGTTTGAAATCTGGTATGGTGGGAAGGAAGAAGTTTATATTATACAGGTTGGTCATTTTAAAATTATTCTAGAAACTGTAATTTGCATTAACATAACATCTGAGTAGTGGCATGGGCCTGTAATCCCAGTGATATAGGATGCTGAAGCAGGAGGATCATAAATTCATGGCCAGCCTTGACAGCATAGTGAGACCCTGTCAGAAAGAGGGTGGGGAGAAAGAAAGAATGAAAGGAAGAAGTCTGAGTGGCACAGGAAATAATTTTGGTCACATTTTAAAAGGCCCCACTCTCAACTGTTATTATTTGAGTATTCTTTAAGGTATATTTAAACATTTTTGTGCAGTAGCACATGATTTCTTTAAATTGAGGTAAACTTGGGTGTTTTTTAGGGCTTTAAGTTTTTACCACTACACAAGGAGATTTATCAGCTGTAGCTGATGGTTTGGGAGGTACTTCCCTGCCTCATCAAGTTTCTAGAGTTAGAGATTGTAATAGTTCCGAGTTCTCTTGTTGTCATCATTTGAAGTGTACATGATTACAAGATGCAACAGTTAAGGTTTGCTCCCTGCTTCTAAAGAATATTGTTAAAGCCCTGGCCAGATGTGATATAAGGTCCATCTTACATTACGGAAGGGGACAGGAAGCAGATCCTTTCAAGATGATGTTATCAAATATTTAATAAATCTTTGTATCCTGACTTGTGACTGAATCTGTTGCAAGTGCTCAGCAATTTTTGTTTATTTTAATTCTGTACTGTTTGCAGTTCATAAAAATGCTTAAAGATATAGTATTTGGCCACGCACAGTGATGCACATCTGTAATCCCAGTGAGTCAGGAAGCTAATACAGGAGGATGGCAAGGTCAAGGCCAGCCTCCACAACTTAGTGAAACCCTTTCTCAAAAAAAAAAAAAAAAAGGGTGGGGGATGTGGCTCAGTAGGTAAGCATCCCTGTGTTTAATCCCTAGTACCAAACAAAGCTTGGAATCATTTAACAAATGTATCTTGTGAGTAATGGGAGGATATGTAGGGAAGCTTTCATGTTACCAGTCACTAAGATCATTCTCCAAACAATTTTAATTCTGGAAGTATTAGAGCATTATTTTACCAAAACTAAACATAAAAAATATATATTTTTAAAAGAACCTCCCTCCTTGCCAGGCATGGTGGCACACACCTGTAATCCCAGCAGCTCAAGAGGCAAAGGCAGGAGGATCATGAGTTCAAAGCCAGCCTCAGCAACTTAGCAAGTACTAAGCAACTCAGAGAGACCCTGTATCTAAATAAAATATAAACAGGGCTGGTGATGTGGCTCAGTGGTTAAGCACCCCCATGGGATTCAATCCCTGTTACCAAAAAAAAAAAAAAAAAAAAACTTAAAATGAATGAACTTATACTTTGCATTCTATCCATTTGTTATTATTCAGTTATTAATTAAGGGCAATTTTATAATGGCTTGAACTGCATTATTTCATCTATCTGATGGCTAATGATTTACTCCTTCCCTACAAGTTTTAAGAATCAAAATACTAGAATTTGAATATGGTATTTTAAGGAGTAGATCATGTTTGATATACTTAATTGCATTTGTTTTATTATAAAAGCATTCTTTTTAGAAGAAATATACCCTCCACCCTTTTTAATCTTTAGGCTCCGAATGTAGATGTGAAGATGTCATGGTTAAAAGAAATAAGAAATATTTTGTTGAAGCAACAGGAACTTATGACAGGTAAATTCAAACATATATTCTTTTTTTTTTTCCATTCTCTGTTTTTTTTTTTTTAATTTTTTTCCAAACATATATTCTTTAGAACAAGCATAGTAACAGCTCATTGGCTCAGATTTTGTGAATTTTTTTTTCAGAGAATGGGGCTGATATTTACTTTATTCTGTTTAAAATGAAATGGTTTATTAAACAGCAAGAGAATTCAAACACTACAAAATGAACCTCTGCTTGAGAAGCTGTTTAAAAGCAGCACAGAGATCTGACTGTGTTAATTCCTAGTCTTTCCCAGGAGATGATTCATTTTAGGACCTCAAGTAATTTGTACCTGGTGAAGATGGGATAGGGGACAGACACTTGTTCAAAATGTGAACTCCTTGAATAAAATATTACATGATTTGGACTTTTCCAAATTCTACCTTCATACTGGCCTTTCCTCTGGTTATTTCAGGTCTCTGAAAGATTTGTGTGTAAGTGTGCGAGTATGTTTGTAAAAGTTGTTGGCCTTCTAGGGCTGGGGTTGTGTCTCAGTGGTAGAGTGCTTACCTAGCACGTGAGAGGCCCTGGGCTTGATCCTCAGCACCAGATAAAATAAATAAATAAAATAAAGGTATTGTATCCAACTATGACTAAAAAAAAAGTTAAAAAAATTTGTTGGCCTTTAAGTAGGAAGTACAGCTTCTAAATGATGCTTATATAAGGTTTGTTTTATTTACAGTTAAAAAACGGAAGCAACAAGATCCGATTACAGAACAGGAACGGCTTTCTCCTCAGCAGAGTGATGAGTAAGTGATAATTCTTTAAGAACTATCACTTCTGCAATCTTCTGTTTTCCATAGGTAATGTGAAGCAATGCAATTAAGGTATCTCAGACAAGAACCAACCCATCATTTTAGCAATAACTCATCAAATTCCACAAACATCATTTTCTCAGTTCTAATCTTGTATTGGAGTCTAATAGTCCCTAACAGTTATATCTCAGGCTGGATTTAGAACACAATTAAAATGCTTTGTTTTCAGTATATCATGATAATTGGAGACAGAGTTGTAAGAATATAGGAACAAAGCAGATGAAGAACTGGCTCATAGCTTTGTAAGCTTTGTAATCTTTCTCTGTCCTTCCTTCTCTCCCTCTCCCACCCCCTCTCTCTTTTTGGTACCCAGGATTGAATCCAGGGGTGCTTAACCACTGGGCTTCATCCTCGGCCTTTTTTTTTTTTTTTTATTTTGAGTCAGGCAGGGTCTCACTAAGTTGCTTAGGTCCTTTCTAACTTGTTGAGGTTGGCTTTGAACTTGTGATCCTCCTGTTTCAGCCTCCTAAGCTGCTGGGATTGCCATTGTACCCAGCTAGCTTTGTAATCTCTTGAATGGAGGCCACTTGTTTGTGATTTGTTCTTTCTTTGTATAAGTAAGAAGGTATGGATACTGGCAAGGAACTGAACTTAGATGTAGCCAGGAAGTCTTTAAGGAAAGTGGCAGTCTTATATGACAGCACACTGCTACTGATTTAAGAGAGATGGTATGTCCTGCATCTAGTAATTCTAAAGGGTAGACTGTCCACAGAACATTCGCATGTACACAGTAAGAATTCCCACACTGATTCCAAAACCCTGGCACAGAGATTGACCATGCAGTATCTGCATGATAGTGGGATCATTCTGAATGACTTATTAGATTCTTTTTCTTTTGTTGCACATCATTTTTAGAAGTAGATAAAATCAGAAGCAACACATGGTGTTTCATTTGAGGCTTTAGGATAACAAATCATAAAAGTCTTTTATCTTCTAGGGTTTACAATACCCAGTCTTTTTATCATATATTAGAGAAATAAAGACTTTAGCTTTATGCAGTAGTTGACTTAATAGTAGCTGGTACAAATGTGACAATACAAATGAATTTATTTTTTTTTCTTTTTTTGATACCAGGGATTAAACTCAGGGGGCACTTAACCACTGAGCCACATCCCCAGCCCTATTTTGTATTTTATTTAGAGACAGAGTCTCACTGAGTTGCTTAGCAGCTCACTTTAGCGAGGCTGGCTTTCACCTTGTGATCATCCTGTCTCGACTTCCCAAGATACTGGGATTTCAGGGGTGTGCTCAATTAAATTTTTATCTTCATTTATACAAAACTTATCTGATTCACTGAGATTAGAAGCTCACAGAGCAACAGGGATTGTACACAGTGTACCTACCTTGGATCTAGACAGGATTAGTTTTTGCTTTGCAAAACAGAGAACCTGTTGGATTGAATCCTATGATTTAGGCTTTTGCATACTATCACACAGATCTCAAAAGGGGGGAATATCTGCTCTTTGAATTCTCTGAGAATGGAAGAAATACCATTTCTAAATTATTACTATTTCTTAGACTATGTGAAAGCTCACTTATTTTTATACATTATTATTTCAGAAAGCAACAGGGAGCTTTTCTAAGTATCCAGGAGACTGAATCGGAACAACCCAGTGCTATGGTGGCGGTCAGTGAGGCAGTTGTGTCAGTTCAGGCAGAAGCAAATGCAGGTATGTGTCATGGTCATCCTCAGATGAGATTCATGGCTGTGCAAGTTCTTTTTTTTAATCTCCCGTTGTTAATTTGGAAAATCTATGTCTGTTATTTTTGTCTAAAGAAAATAAAGCCAACCCATTTTTATCAGGCTCTCCTGTCTTGCATATGCAAATCATTCTGTTGGGCACTACAGAGCAGTGGTTGTCAAAGTATGGTCCCTGGACCCAGGAACATTAGTATCACCTGGGGACTTGTTATATGGAAGGCACATTTCTCGGCTCTGTCTCAGACATTCTGAATCAGAAACTCCAGGTGTGAAGCTTAGCCACTGAAATTTTGAGCAGCTCTCTATGATTCGGATCCCTGCTCAAGTTTGGAAATCCCTGCATTAGAGGATGCAGTGATGAATGAAATGCATCTACTGGTGCCAGTGCACCCTTCACTTACCATGGTTTGATGAATAGGGAAGGATCACTTACAGATGGAATATTTATTGTCCTTATGGAAATTGTGTTATATGAAATGATTTTAAATAGTTTATTTAGTTCAACAAATGTTATAATATAATATGACCTGTGTGCCAGGAATTGTGCAAAAGTTTGGGCCTAAAGTATAATTAAAATGCACTCAGCTGCATTCTCACATAGCTGGGAGGGTATAGAGATAATTTAACAAGCAATTAAAATTATATGTGGCAAGTGTTACAACAGGGAGGTACAAGGTGCTATAGAAGCGCACAGCAGTATTACCTAAACAACTTGGACACCACTAGAGAGATGCAAATTAGGGTGTCTGACTCAGTATTTTAATCTGATAGTCCTTAGATGGAAGGGTAATCCACTAGTTTAGGAGAAACAAGTAATCATAACCTAGTTCAGTTTTTATTTAAATGTCACTTCACTCAGGTTGTTATGTCATGGCCCTGGAGCAGTAAAGAGAGGAGCTAGTATCAATGACTTCTTTTGATAGGTAAGAAAACCAAGTCAGAGAAGGTTGACGTGATTTCCAATGTCACATGAATACCATAGTTTACTATGGCCAAGATTAGATTTTGTTAATTTAAGACTTAGATTACTTAATCTAAATAAATTCATTTTTTAAGTTAAGCACCTCCTACATACAGGCTCTTACAAGACATGCAGTGTATAACACAAAGTCTCTGCCTAGTGAGAGAGACAAGCCAACCCAAAATAATAATATCAAGTAGAATCTGATAGGTACTATTTGAGTGGAACCAATTAAAAAATGCTGTAGAAAGAATTTTTTATAACAGGTGACTTTCTAAGAGAGGGTAAATATTTTCTAAAATGATATTTAACTTATTACTTTTAACAACTTACAACCAATCTCACCTTGTGACCATTCTAAAAATTAAAGAAGTATACAACTGGCCCCTTTGTGAAACGTCAAAAATTATAAAAGAGTGTGGTCTAATCTACAATTATAATACAGATGAAGATACAAATCTTGGTCCATTGAAGGTTAAAACCTTGAATATCACAGGTAGTTTACTTCTCACCTTGCAGTGAACCAGCACTGATAAGTAACTGCTACACTCAACATTTTTCTTATAGTTTGGACTGAGATGTCACAATCTGCAGGAATCTCTGAAGAGCCTGAGGAATGGTCAAGCAACTATTTCTACTCTACTTATGATGACCATGAAGAAGAAGATAGGCCCCTAATGGTTAGTAATGGCATATTCAATTGAAATTCTTTAGGCAGTTTCACTGATGAAATAGATGGAGCCCATAGGGACAATCTTTTGTCAGCATCCTTAAAGTCATTAGGTACTTTCCATAGCCAGAAGATTTGAAGCAAATCATATGAACATTCAGTAAGTACTTCTCTTTTTATGTAGAATTTGTTTGAGTTCCTACTGAAGTTGATTGAATAGTCAATCTTTCAAAATCTCTACAAATTTACCAATTTTATCTTTTTTAAAAAATTATTTTCATTATTTTTCTCCCCCATTATATAGAATTTCTTTAAGTTTTTATTTTGAAATAATTATAAATCCATAGGAAGTTAACAAAAATAGTATTAAAGTCCTGTTTATTCTTTACCCAGGCTTCCCAATGGTAATATGTTACATAATTATACTGTAATATCATCTGGAAATGGAAATTAGTACTATCCACAGACCTTGTTTATACTTCATCAATTTTCCATGCATCTATTTATGTGTATATATAGTTCTGTATAATTTTATCCACCACTGAGTTTTCCATTTATGCGTATAAGATAGAATTAGAGAATAAAGGAGCTTCAGACAAACTTTAGAAATCAATTTATAATCCAGATCAGAAAATATAGGAAGTAAAAATTCCATGCTAAAAACTATTTAATAATACCTGGGGGGGAATATATTTTAGTGGGTTCTCAAAAAATGTGCTCATGATATCAAACGTCAGCATGCTAGAGCAAGGGTGTACCCCATAAAGTGAAAGGGTTTGGGGTGGAAGTATTTCATAGAAGAAATAGTTTCCAAGTTGTTAGGATCCTACCAAGTTAGTAGAGGGGCATTAGAACTGACTGCTTAGGGTGAATCCTGCTTCTCTGAAGTCATTAACTTGGAGGGTGGAAATGATGCTTTGCAGTGGACTGCTCCTTGGTGCCCTTCAGAGGAACCAATTCATTTTGGAAGGCTGAATGTTGGTGTCAGAGATTAATGGCGTTGGTAATCACAAAGCTGCACAGCATTGACTCTGAAATGCTTGTTTTTTAAAAAAGTAGTAGATGTTTTTTTTTCTTGTAATGATATGATGACCATTATACATATTTGCATGGTAGCTTACATTTATTAAATGATTTATCAATTAATATTACCAGTATTAGTGTGAAAAAGGCCAAGCTTTATTACCTCTAATTTACAGAGGCAGAAACTGCGGTGAGTAAAAGATTTGCTTAGAGTTGATTGTCTAGACCAGCAGTTCTCAAATCATGAATGAAGGAATCCTTTACATTCTTAGAAAATACACCACTCCAAAGAACTCTTATTTATGGAAGTTATATCTATTCATATTTACCTTACTATAAATTAAAACTGAGAAATAAGATTTATTTTAAATTAATAAACCCATTTTAAATGTGTATAAACAACATTTTTATTTAAGAGTCATATTTTTCAAAGCAAAACAATTGGCAAGAAGACTGGTGTTTTACTTTTGTAAATTACTTTAACATGCGGCTTAGTAAAAGACAGCTGGATTTGCATATCTGCTCTTGTGTTTAACCTATTGTACTTGGTGGCCTTTAGAAGACTCCACTGTGAGAGGCTGAGAGTGAAAAAAAATGCTGTCTTAATGTATGCTTAACCTGTCAGACCCTTCAAAAAAGGTCTCAGGAACCCCCAGTGGTCTGCCTCCTACACTTTGAGGACCACTGGTTTAGACTAATAACACAAAGAAGTTTAATTTCCATAATTAATACTGAGAATGAAGTGGATCAAGGTAGTTGTTCAGATGTGAGAGGCATCTTCCTTTAGAGGAACCCAATTTGTGTTTAAACATTTGCTACAGATTTATGAAAGGATTGTCAGGAACTGTCTTAAGTAGCCATTTTTCCAGTTATGAAGTCAAAAAATAAAGTAAATATGCAAAATTGATTAATGCTTTAATCACAGTGGATAGGAATACAGAAAAACCTATTGGTTTTCCTCTCTTCTCTAAATAATTTTCTGAGTTGTGCTAAGGAAAACATGGGGAAGAGCAATACTGTGCATTCTATACATCTCCCCAGAGAAGCTGGGATAAGCTGTTCTTCTGGCTTCACTTTATCAAGTCAAATGATTGAGAAATAATGGGTTCCACTTCCCTTGTAGAGACCCGTGTCAGAGATGGCTCTCCTATTTTGATGAAGCTGCTATGTCAAATAGCAAGTAGCTCTTTCCTGCCCGCTCCTCAGCTCATTTGGAAAAAATACTGCTCAAAAGACATTCAGCCCAAATGATGTGGATATTGTTTTCAGGTTGATTCCTTTGGACATGCAAAGAATCAACAGCACATAACTATTTCCTTACTTTCATTTACAACATTTTAATTATGATACTCTTTATTTCTAAAATCATGCATTTCAACATGTAAAATATTGTGCTGCAAAAATTCTCATCTCGGAATACTTTTGGACTTGAAAAATCACTTCTTCTCTATCTACTTTGTAACCAAATGCAATCAGTGTGCCTTGGATTATTTAGCTTATTATGAACTAAGTTAAAATTATGGCTGCAAAATGATTACAGTCAAGTGAAGCACAACATTATGATTTAATATGCTTTTATTGAACCTAGAGCTTTGGTGCCTCTTACTTTAACCTGTGCAAAATGGTAGAGTTCATAAATCCTTTGGGGGGGTGTTAGTAAATTTTGTTCAGGGCTATTGCCTTTTGTATGTGCCAAGATAAAATTTTCCTGACAGTAGTTTACAAATAATTGTATTTAAAATTTAATATTTTCATGCTTGTTTTCTTTTCTGGGTTTATGCTTATAATTCATGTAACAAATTAGTTGTGCTCTATTATTTTCTGTACATTTCACGCTGTAATTCTTTTTCCAAATAAAAAAAGAATTCTTCAGGTTATATAAATACATGTTTTGTTTTTTTTTTCCCTATCACAAACTGCTCCACTTGGTTCCTGCAAAGCTACTGCAGCTACCCCATTTATCATTGAAGTAAAGACTGAATTCTTTGTTACAGAGAGCAGGCAGTTCTTGAAGGAGTTTTGCAATCAAGTTTGTAATATAATTTTTCAAAACACCATTACAATCTCTAGGCAAACATAAAGCCCTAGCAGACTGCAGGAAGAGAGGTTCAGAAGACCTCCTAATTAGAAATGGAGATGTCATTCAGCTTCTCCATGAAGATGCTGTGGGTCAATGATAGGTGCGTTTATAATGCCATTGATGACTTCTGGCTGATGCAGATGGGGGCAGCTAATCAAAAGGTATGCTTTATCTGTATTTTTGTTATACAGCCTACAATAGCAGAGCGATCACATTTTTGTTGCTTCAGCCATGCCTATATAGCTTATTGAAGGGAATGTTAACCTTTGGTGAGTGAAAGATGCTTCAAAAGAATCAAATGAGTCTACATGTTCTTTTGTGGTTTGCCTTTGGCTCAGAAAATTTAGCTGATATATCTGGCCATTGTAATGGCTACAGATCACATTACATTTGATTAAGTCATTCATAATCACATATCTAATAAATGCCCATGAAGTGTCAGGGACCATGCTTTCCTACTTTACAACATAGCCACAATTCTCTTCTTGGTTCAAATATTAACTTTTGAGCTTTGTCATACTCTTCTTTTGCATTTGACTTTTTATAGCATCCATTGTAAAGATGGGTCTGCCTAATATACTGTTTAATTATGAGAGAATCCAAAGCAGGAAGAAATAAAACAATTCTGTATCTACGGTGTCAATAACTTGAACTAAGATGCTACACTGACTGTTCTCTAACTGTAAAAGTGAAAGAGCATATGCACAATGGTAGAAATGAATGATGGATCATTAGGTTACTAGAGAAAATTGGTTATTACTCTAAGTCCTTTATAAGTTACTCAAAGAACTCAAGCATAGTGAAATGGAAGTCTTTTTGAACATATGCAAGAGCTTTAAGAAAATTTGAGCTGCACTGCAATCTGTTTTTACCTCCTTACCATTGTTGGCTACTAATTCATTTATTATTTAGGTTGGTGAAAAATCTAAGCAGAAGTCAAGATCTGATTCTAGTGAACAGTGTACAGATTTTAATCTATGACTATAGGTTTTAGAATGCCAAAGTTTATAAATATAATATGAACACACAGTATGTTTGTTTGAAGGTTAAAATTTCTAAATCCTTGTCAAATGTGACACTGGCATAGAGTAAGAACCTCTCTGCACTTAGAAATATAGCTGCCAACTTATTGTTTTAACTAGGATTTAATTTTTTTCCTTCAATAGATTTATATTCGTGAATAGTTTTTTAAAACATACTAAACCTTTCTCTACAACATTGATAAGCCTGAGAGAGATTTCAGATACTGTGGCGTCTTAAGAGATCCTTCAGAGTTAAATGCTGATGTTATGCTTTTAAGCTTCCAGCCTTACTGGACAAGAATTCTTTACCAGTGTGTATTTTTTACTTTGACCTAGGAATATGTTATTTCTCTATGGTAGGTTTCTGCTACATGAATGTGAACACACATATACCTGTGTCTACACCTAAGACTTAGGTGTGAAGGTAGTAGGAAGTAATGAGAAATAACCTGATGTTGGTTTCTAGTAACTCAACTTCAGGAAAAAATAATCTATATACAAATCGGTATTCTTTTTTATTGGCACATTATAATTATATATAATAGTGGGATTTATTGTAACATATTTGTACATGTACATAACATTGGTCAATTTCCTTCCCTAGTACTTCCCCTTTCCCTCCCTCCCTCCACCTGGTCCCCTTACAGACCAGTGTGCTTACAGATTTTCTTGTGATATTTACCTATATATAAAAAAGAACAAAAAAGAAAGATTATTATTGTTATATATACATAATTCTGAAATGTTAGTTTGGCTTTGTGTTTGAATTCCAGGTAATAGTATACTGTTTCCAATTGAATCTAATAGACTAGGGGTAATTTATTTGGTCTCAAGTTTCATTTATGACATGAAACCCAATTGAAGGATGATAAGGCTCAATGTAAATATTGGGTCACATGGGAAACCCTAAGTACTCTAATCCGAGTCACTTCTGAAAGGTTCTTAGCACTAATTGTTGGGTTATTTAGATAATTGTTTAATGATTTAGATAATTAATAACCTGAAGAATCTGTAATGTTAAAATAGAACTGATTGACAGATATTTAAAATCTATATCCAACGACTGCAAAACGCACCATTATTTTTAGGACTGAAAGGAGTATTCATCAAGATAGACCATATACTGTTTCATAAAAAAAAGTCCTAATAAGGGGCTGGGGTTGTGGGTCAGTGGTATAGCACTTGCCTAGCACGCGTGAGGCACTGGGTTCAATTCTCAGCACTGCATATAAAATAAAGGTCCAAAAATGAAAAAAAAAAAAACTTTTAAAAAGTCTTAATAAGTTTATAAATATTGGAATCATATAAAGTCTCAAGATATTATATTAGAAACCAATACCTCAAATTATTTGAATATTAAACAATAGACACCTAAACAACACATAGGATAAAAAAGAAAGCACAAGGGAAACTAGAAACATTCCAAATTGAATGAAAAAGGAAATGTAACATACCAAAGTTGTGGCTGCAGTTAAAGAGGAGGGAAATGGAAGAAAACCCATAGCTTTAAATACCTGCATTAGACACTTAAAAATCAGAGTGATTCACCACATTAACATAATGAAAGGGGAAATTACATATAATCAGTTCAACAGATGCAGAAAAGTAATTGACAAACCTCATACTCTATCATTATGAAAATTCACAGCAAAGTAGAAAAAAAGGGAAATTCGTCAATGTGATCATGTACACTTAGAAAAAAATCCCATAGCTGACATCTTAATAGGGAAATATTAGAAGTTTCCCCCCATAATTGGAAATGAGCCAAGGATGTATATTCTGACAGTCAATATTATACTGGAATTCCTAGCCAATGCCCTAAGTGAATGAAAAGATAAAAAGAAGAGACAAAAGTATCATGATTAGCAGTTTATATGTATTACAAAACTATAAGGAATCTACACATAAGAAGCCCCGACTAGAACTAATAAGTGAATTTTACAAGGCCATGGTATATAAAATTATATACAAAATAAATTATAATTATCCTAGCAACAAAGAATTGAACAAATGAAATTTCAAAAATTAATGTTAGAGATGTAAAACAAAGTAAATAGGAATGCCTCTAACAACAGATGTGAAAGGCTTTTCTACAGACAACTACAGACCTTTGCTAAGATATATTTAAGATGACCTTAAGAAAAATGGGCACAAATACCAAGTCCATAGATTAGAAATATCAATGTTAAGTAATCTATCTTCCACAAATTGGCTTGTAGATTCAATGCAAATCAAAATCAAAATCTCATGTGTAACTAATTAGAAAAAATAAAAATATCAAAATCTCAGCAAGCTCTTTTGAAAAATTTTAAAAAGATGTGTTTATTTTAAATTGCATATTAAAAGGCAAGAATTATTGTGAAAATTGGAGGACTTACATATCTGATTTCAAAACTTAATGTATACTACACTAATGAGTATAATTTATCAATAATATGTTGAAAAATAGAGATTTTGGAAATGGACATGTGTATATTTAATTTTTAATTTTTTTTTAAATTGAAAGATTAAATTTTATACTGTGTACAACATTTGAAGTTTGTAGAATAACTAAATTTGGCTAATTCACATAAATATTACCTCAATTATTTTATTTTTATGGTGAGAATGCTTAACATTCACTCTCATTGTTTTCAAGAATACAGTATATTGCTATTATTGTCATCATGTTGTACAAAAGCTCTCTTGAATGCATTCCTCCTATCTAACTGAAATTTTATATCCTTTGACTAACATCAGCCCAGTCCCACAACTGCTCTAGCCCCTGGTAACCAGGCACAGAAATAAAATTCTACATGATCTCACTCATATGTGGAACCTAAAAAATTAATTTGTAATCAAATTCCACATCAACTATGGGAAAAGAAGGATGTTTTTACAAATGATCCTGAACAACTGGGTATTCATATAGAAGATAAAATGAACCTACATCATATACCTCACTCCTTACATGAATTTGAGTTGAATAATAGATCTAAACATAAAGGCTAGAATCATAAAGCATCTTAAGGCAAACACAGGACAATATGTTCCTAAATTTGCATAGTTAATATGTCTTATACAACACAAAAAGCACCAACCATAAAAGAAGAGTATTAGACAAATACAAACAAACATTACATGTGCTGAATTGAGCACTTTACAACTTAACAAATGTATGCCTGTTAGTATAGGATAAATAAGACAGTGACATTTTGAACACTTTCAAAAGCTAATTGATTCTAATAACTCACGTTCCCCCCAATTTAACTTGTTCCATGTTAACACATTGAAGAGTTAAGTTTCAAAATAAATATGTGCAGTATTCTAACTACTTTGTGCTTACTTGAAATGGTTAACAAGAAAGAGAAGAAACACAACTCACTTAAAATTCATGCTCCAAGAACTGTTTAACATTTATACATCAGGTTTTAAAAAGCAATTTTAAAAATCCATGAAATAACACTATAATGTGTTTACTAGAAATTAATGATCTTTTTGTGTCTCCTAGATTTTAAAGTGGAAACACTATAGGTATATATCTAGCTTCCATATAATATTGTCATTTTTGTTCAACATTAAGAAGGCCTAGTATAGTTTTTCCCATAACATATCATCATTTTAAATGTAGAGCCAGATGTCCTCATACTTAATTCAGGACAAAGTTAATTACATGAATTTTTTTTCTAACTAATGAAGGACATATAAAATTACATATTTGATTAGTTTTAATTGGAAATGACTT